TGGGGTATGAAGCAAGGCCACTAATGAAGGTTAATTCAGCAAGACAAGTTAGGAGAAGAATGCAGTTGTTATGGGTAACCTGAACTTGTGCAAGTGTACAGCAGCTAGTTGTTAGTGTGGTACTTGGCCTGGGTGAGGGTTCCTTCAATAGCGAGTAGGTCAGGGTGCTGCTTCCCTCCATTACTGGTCAGTGCCCTGAGTTCAGGACCAAACCCACATTAGAGATCTACGGCCTAGCCACATGGTATGGAAGAGAGGAAAGAGTTAATGAAGAGCACTCATGAAGTCTGCGCAGGTGCTCGTCAGGACCCCATTCAATCACTGGGAGCAAGGTGGCAGAGGTATGCTGACTGGTGGACAGGGCATGGGCTCAGCAGTGTCCCTCCAAAATGTGTCACTCATCGGCAAGGTGTCACACCACTTCCACAGAGGGACTCTGTAGGTTACACAGTTACACACGGTGTATAGCTCATCTCTGAGTTGGAGTGCCGCCATAAGGTTGATTTTGCCTGAATGCAGCCCTGCCTGCTGCTGGGCATTGATTAGTGAGACCACATATCCAAAGGTACCTCATGTGCACAGGTGAGTGACCCCCCTACAACCTGGCGAGTTTGCCTCCTTACAACATGGCATAGTCGTAGTGGCTCATTCAGGCCAGTGCAATCAGACAGAGAAATTATGGTACTAGGACAGGAGCTGAGTATTCTTTACCTAATTGAGTGGGTTACATTAAAGAGTCTGCCCTGCACAGATATATTTTTTTTTCTCAGCCATGTCTATGCTGCCTTTCCATTGTATATGAAAACCACTTCCAATAGCATCCAACCTTAAATTGCAGGGTAATAGGGTTTGTCTTGGTATAACACATTTACATCTATTGAAAATGGTTTGTTGAGTCTCTGTGCATGTTGCCGCAATGCTCACCATTGCATCATGTGTGCATTTCCATTAGCACCCAAAAGCAGATGTGCTGCAGTGCATTGCATCTCTTGCTAATGCACTACATGCGCTGTGGTGTGCTGCTTTGCAAAAAAACACCGCACATCTGCTTTGTGGGCATTCTGGTGCATTGGCTGCCCAGTTTTTTTACACAACATACAGTATGTTAACCCATGACATAACGTGTTAATGCAATGCACCAGAATGTATAAGTGCAAATGGGTCCTTACACATAAAGCAGATTTAAATGATATGACGATGGTTAAAATTCTACAGAGTCAAACTATATCTGAAGGCAACATTTTTAAATAGAGGTTTTAAAAAAGAAGGATATTTTTTAAAACCTGTGTTTTTTTTTATTTTGTTATTTGTGTTTCACTAGGGAGATTTACTCTCACTTCCTGTCTCATAAACACATCAGGAAATGAGGGGAAATCTCTCCAAACAGATCTCCCCAGCGGGGACAAAGCAATGAAAAATCTCTATGATATCTGAACCTTATAAAAATCCTTTTGGCTTTGGATATACTCTTACTGCTGCTTTGGAGCGCCACAGTCCTTAGGACACTGTCAATAATACAAATGTAGGAATAGATCTCAAATAACGTGATGAAGATAGAGCAGTCTTCTGGAGGGTCAGAGACTCAGAATACCAGAAGGAGCTTTAGGGTGGTACATGTGATGGAAATCAGTGGAATGCCTTTTTGCCTGCTGTTGCTGTGATTCTGACACAGTAAATGACTGCTCTTCACATATAAGAATTCATACGGAGAATATAATCACTTGTGTCTACAAGGGTGGGACTGGCTATTATTACATATAATGTGAGAACGGCTCTTCTTGGATCACGTCTAATGGGACTGGAATGTTATCATGTTTCAGCTTGAGTCTTTCCTTTGCTCAATTAACTCAGAGTCTGATTTCCAAATGGTCCTTCTAAGATTAAACCTGCTGAAAAGAACTCTGCAGTGAGAAAATTTAGCCCTGATTTATCAAACTGCATTGCACTTATATCGGAACTACACTGCATCTGAGCACCACAAACAAAAAAAAAACGCAGACTCACCCATCCATCCATGACTCCATGCTTTATTTTGTTGAGAAATCACTTTCAAAAACACCTCCCTAGCATTGCTGGTAGTGGCCATCTTGAATAAAGGCAGATGATTCATGTAGCATTTACTTGCTGGAATCCTTCTGCCCTTAGCTGAGGCATGCAGGCAGGAGGGTGTGCTTAGCTGAGAAAACCCCTCCTCCTCTCCTGGAGACACCTGGGACGTATGACATGATTAACCACTTGCCCTCCAGAGGATTTACCCCCCTTCCTGATCAGGCCTTTTTTTGCGATACGGCGCTGTGTTACTTTAACTGACAATTGTGCGGTCATGCAACACTGCATCCAAATGAAATTTATGTCCTTTTTTCCCCACAAATGGAGCTTTCCTTCGGTGGTATTTGATCACCTCTGTGTTTTTTTTTTTTTTGCACTATAAACAAAAAAAGACCAACAATTTTTAAAAAACAATATTTTTGACTTTTTGCTATAAAACATATCTAGTAAAAAAATAAAAAAATAATAAAATTTCATCATTAATTTAGGCCAAAATGTATTCTGCTACATGTCTTTGCTAAAAAAAAATCCCAATACGTGTAAATGAATTGGTTTACGTGAAAGTTATCACATCTACAAATGGCGGTATGTATACTGGGATTTTTTTTTTTATACTAGTAATGTCAGCAAGAAGCGACCTATAGCGGGACTGCGGCGGGCATTCTGACACTGGAGGGGAACTGACTAACTGACATTGACATTCTTAGTGACACTAATACAGTGATCAGTGCTAATAAAAAGCACTGACACTGTACTAATGACACTGGGCTATGCAGAGCAATACAAATCAGCATGCTGATGCTGACAGGGGAGAGATCTGTGTTGTTTACATACAGACCTCTCCCCTGGTAGTGTTCCTCAAGGGGTGCCGACGGGGAATCTCCGGCCGGGACCCGGTTATCGACAGCTGTAGCTGCTAATGGCAGTGCACACCACCTACCTGGAAATGCAAAATCACGTATATATACGTGATTGTGCGCAGCCCTGCCGTCCTGTAGTAGTAGTTCTACCATAGGGCAGTCGGGAAGCGGTTAACCTAGGCCTGGAAACCAGGAAGTCATTTAAGAAATGTAAAAATAAAAAGTTTGAAACAAGTAAATATAATATACTTTCCTAAATATTTGCAACGTACTAATGCTAGCAGCATAAGGATTACACATAGTCAATGTTGATTGTTAGAGTGAAGTTCTGCTTTAAGAAGAACTTCCTAGTGGTTATGGCAGGCTAAAGTGATATATGATAACACTGGTTGAGAGGCTAATTTAGCATTCCTTAAGCACCATTTAGCACTTCATAAGTGATATTGCAGTTTGATGAATAGAGCCTATAGAGGCTGCCATTGATGATCTCTCCATCTGAAAATTCTAGCTCTCGGTCTGTCATGCTAATCCAGGGGATTCACTACTTCTTAAGCACTTCCAAGTAACAAATATAAAGACCAAGGAGTTCTGATTTCACTTTGACTTTCTGATCTAAATGCTTGTTTTGGGCCACTAATCCAAAAAGTATTGAAGCCAGAGAAAGTCAGAAAGCTAGTACTTGCCGAAGGAGGTCAGCAATGGCAACCCCCATCACACGTTTTCTTTGATAGCATTGTGACAGTCAGATTGATTAATAAAAAGTGAAATTGAATTGGTTTCCCTGCATTACTATACTCCTTGCTGTACGTTTTATTGTAGGCATATATAACAATGCAAAGTGCCATCGCCTATAGTATCTTATCATCGTTCTTTTCAAGTCTCTCAAATTTATTAGAAGATATGCCCTCTTCAAAAGCTTTTGAGCAGTTGCTGCGGATCTTAGTAAATGAGATGAATTGCTGATTACTTCCATTGTCTAATCATGTGCAAGCAAATATGCCCCTAGGGTCAATGTGCCACTGGTTGGGAATCGATTATCTGGTTTGCAGACAGGTGAATTCTGATGGCTGTGGATGACTGCAGATTGAACACCACCTTTGCTCTTTCATTGAATATAAAGAAGACTGTAAATGTTTGAATATTCATAAACCATACATTGTTTTGCTTCTTTTTCAGTCCACGTTTCAGTATGCAACTGTAATGGGCGATCAAAGCGCTGTGTGTTTGATGGAGATTTACAGGCCCAGACTGGTTCTGGGTTCCGCTGTATAGACTGTATTGGAGGAACAGATGGACCCAACTGTGAGCGATGTAAAGAAGGGTATTATTCACAGCCTGGGGGAACCTGTGCACCCTGCCAATGCCATGTTGGAGGTATGTATCCATTAAACTTATGAATGTTAATGACTATGGATGGAGATGTTGGGGGGGGGGGGGGGGGGGAGGTGGGTTGTGAACAGCACTGCTAGACTTGGACTTATGTCACGGGAAGCTATAGCAATTGGCTAACAAATATCCCCACCTAGCGTGCCTAGCACCTTTCCAAAATCGTTTTGTTGTGCCTGGAGTGATGAATCCAGAAGGAGCACATGAGGACTTTCCAGCATAGGAACATATGAAAACCATCTGCCAATACTTTCTTTACTGGCCTGTTTCTTTTTAACCTTAGTTGTAAGTTCACTTTTCTGCCCCATTAAGAACATTAGCTATATAAAACTAGTTATAGTGGCTTGTACCATACTGCACAATCCACATAATAACTAAACGCGGGAAAGTACAGTGATCGCTGAATAAAGCTTTGGACCCGTTCTAGAGATCTGTGGTATGCTGGTGACCTTCTCTCACTTTGATCTTCGGTTCCAGTCAGTGGTCGCTGCAGCACTCATTTGCATTGCAGCCACATTGAAGGAATGTGTGCGCTGGGATAAGTTCATTGGAGTCTACTGAGAATAAGAGGAGACATGATAATAATTCGATTGTAACTTCTATTATTTGACCCTTACAGGCTCCCTCAATACCCAGTGTGATAATAATGGACGGTGTAGCTGTAAGCCTGGGGTGAAGGGTGAGAAGTGTGACCGGTGTCAGCCTGGATTTCATTCTCTTACTGACAGTGGCTGCAGGTAAAATTGTAAACCGGCTTTGGAATAGTTTTGTCAAGCTGCCAGTATATTATAAAAATGATTAGATTCCTCAAGTCAGCTTTATTTTTACAAACATAAATCAGCAATTTTTGACCTATTATGATTTCAATGCATCCCCACTACTTACCACCTAAAATCCCAACTAAGGATTCTGGGGCAATGGATATGCCCAGATTAATATGTGACCAGGCCATTAAATCTACTATTATTCCTAGCTTAGATTTGTGTTCAATAACAACATGCATGTGTTTGTGTGATATCCATTTAATTGTATTCAACTCTAAGAGATTCTTAGAACCATCTGTCTGGCCACCATATCTGATGTGCCTGAGAGCCTTTTCCATAGAATTTTTTTCTTGGCCATTTTTTTTTAAAGAGGTAGGTAACAAGGGCTATCCTCAACCCCCTCCCCATTGGCACAAGTATAGGATAAATAACAACATAATTTAGCAGCTATAGCACCACGTGCTCTTGAAGATCTCAAAGAGAGTTCTGACCAATACAGGCATAGTTCAACACAATTATTTTCAGCGTCTTCATGAGCACACAGTACCAGAGCTGTTAATAGCTCTAAAATACCAGCTACTTTCTCTAACAGGTTAGACTATTGTTCTTCATATCATCTCATTTCTCAGAAACTGCTAATAGGCAAATATCACAAGCAACGTCTTCCAGCTATGGCACTATTTACCATACAGGCACCAATGACCCAGGGTTTTACACAGCAAGTTAAGGGGGGCACCAACAACCCCAAAAATGTACACCTCTCGATATCTGAAATGATGTATACAGGAGAAGCTGTGTGGGAGAGTTGGAGGACTCCTTGTAGTTCAAAGAACATGAAACTGTCTCACCTTTCTCTTGTTTGATGCTCTTAGGTGAGATGATGAAGCCCCATATGGTGCAGTGGAAATGGAAGTGGCTGTAAAAGCTACTTACAAGCACCTAACACATCTTCTGTCCCAACTATTTAATATCCTGTACCCCAGCTATACAATATCCCAAATGACCCTAAATTTGCTCATACACAAACAGATATACTGCTTGTGTCCTAAGTTGGAAGTGACGAAACGCGCCAGTAGCATACCCAGAAGGGAAGTCGTTTGTTAAAGGCACGTGGTGTTTTTTTGGTTTGAGAACATTTTGAAGATTCATCACGTTAAAAGAGATTTTCACATGTAACAATAGACTATACTTTTATGCACTAAGTGAATGATGAATGTCACATGAACGTTTTGATGTTTTATATAATTTTTTGATCACAGCACCACTGGACTATTGATGTTCATTTATTAATAAGACTTGTCCATTAAATAATGTGTTACCCCAACATTTCATATTCTTGATACGTGCTTGCTGTACCATGTACTTGTGTTAAAACGTATCCTGTTCTCTTTGTACTGGTTCCTTTGTTTGAAATACCTGGACCCTGCCAGTCACCCTGCTTTCCTAATGCTAAGCATTAGAGAACATTAATCTTAGTGTGGTCAGTTTTATGGCTGTGCTGAGAGTATAACCAGCCTGTCCTCCAATGGTTAGACCTCTGATGACATGCTCCCCTGCACAGCTATTCACTGGGAAGATTAGTGTCCTGCTCTTTCTCCTCCCCCATCTCTCCAAGCCCCTTTGCAGCTGAGAAAAGACATTTTGTGACCACTTAGAAAAAGAAAGATATTTATATTGTGCAATGTATCTGTACAGAAATGTTTTGCCTTACATATCTATTTTAAACTAAAAGGGCTGTTTTACAAGGTAAGGGGTCTCATATACTTTAATATTAATTTCCTGTTTCTCACTATGTTTAGGCGCCAGGGCTGCTTTTGTGACCAGGCAGGCAGCAGCCAAAGCTGTGACCAGGATGGCAAATGTGTTTGTAAACCCAATGTCACTGGAGAGAGTTGTGACAGGTAGGTGGAACTTTATAGCCTACTACTGTACATATCTGTTATAACACAAAAAAAACATAATTTTTGGACAATATAAGAGGTATATTGATTAATTGGATGGGACAGAAGAACACATGAAAACAGGACAGTATGACCAGGGCCATGTATAAGGGGGGTACCAGCAGCCCAGGCATCTAGGGGAATTGGATGTGTGCACGCACGGAGGGTGATCAGCACAGCGGGGGGGGTTCTTCTCTGCAACAGCTGAAAGTTGGCTTCTCTCTCCCTCCCTCTAGCTTCCAGATTCTGCAGAGAGAGCCATACAGGGGATCAGCTCCAGTAATTACCGCCCCCCCCACCGCACCCATCATCCTCTCTGTGCACCATGCAATTCCCCCTGCTGCACATACTCCCCTGTGTGCCCCCACCCCCACAGTGCTGCCAGCTTCCCTTCTTTCCTTCCGGCAGTTGCAAGCACACAAAAGGATCAGGATGGAGAGTGGGGGAAGGGTCTGGAAAATATGTCACATTTACCAGCCCCTTCCTTTCCTGAATGAGCAAAATAAGTGATTGGTACCGATCATTCAGTGTTCATTTATAAATGAGGCATAGTGAACTGTGTTTTTTTGGGGTTATATTTTGGGGGGGGGGGGGGGTGGAGTCCCTGTCATGTTGGCAGTATGGGGCCCCATGGTTTCTAACAGCAGCAGCCTTGAGTATGACATAAACAGAGTCTGCATTTCAGAAGACAGTCAAGTATACTGTATATTCACAAAGAACAAGAAAAAAAGCCATATTCTTCACAAAACCTATGAATCATACATTTTAAATTGGCCACGCACATTACAATCCAATTGTAAAATGTACAGTATTATGGTTAGGTTAAAGTATAACAGCAAAAATAAATGATCATCAAAATGTAGGAAAACCGATTAAAGGAAGAGAATGTAAAATATGTCTCCAGCTTTACAATTAGATATAATAAAAAATGTCTGCAATCACCATTTTATACAACCTCATCCAAATTTTTAGGCCCACATACATTGAGGTTTCTGTACATTTCTGTCTAAACTTAATAGATTGTGCAATAAGTTTGTAACTTTTGCATCCAGCTTTAATTCTTCTCAAAAAAGGTGCCATACATGGGGTTGAACTGAAGAGGTATGGTGTTGCAAAGAGGATGTATATTAGTACCATGGAAAGTCTGAGCATACAGTTAATAACAAGGAGCATAATCTACTATATGGAATGACATATGACAGAGTACCTCTGCAGTTATTATGTTCCTTGGACATTGAATGTACAGTGTTTTTGTAGCGATGGTAATATGTCTCAGAATTTATCCATTAAATTTAAAGTGGTAGAGAGGCACTTTAGGCTTTAAGGCCAGCAATGAACTGCTAATGATGTCCAAGGAATACTGCCACCATGATAAGGCATTTTGTTTTAATTTTTATTCTGACTTTTATATGTCATTGCAATCAGAATCAGCATTTCTTTTACGTAACTTATGGGTAGTACTTCAGTCTTTTGTCATATGATCTTGGGCTGTACAGAGCCTTTTTATGTCCCAGGGTGTTGCCATACCTTGAATTTTTGTAGTTTCAGATAAAAAGATATTTCAGAAAATTAGGATGGCAACAACTCAGTAAGACAAGTGCACAAGATGAATGGCAATGTGAGCATTAGAGAACCTCAAAAGGCAAGCTTCATCCCCTGAATCACTTGCGTTTGATTTGAGAATACTCTTAAAAATGTATATAAAATGAAATAACTATGTAAAGCCATCTACAAAACGTCATATATGCATTTTAAAGGGTATAATGCAGCAGTTGTTTAGCCAGACAGGAATTAAGCACCTGCAAAATCCCTGCCACCTATAAGCAAAACCTAAGGGGGGGAGAGCATTGTGTGACTTTCAAACCAAATGCATATATCTTTGATGCAGAAGGAACTGGAACCAGTGGTGGACTGACCATTTGGAAACTCGGGCACTGCCCGAGGGCCCGGGTCAGTAGGGGGCCCCATGAGATGCCCCTGATACCTTTTTCATAGGCTTTTTTGAGTTTGGGCAAGGACACAGGGACCCCATGATCCCCTATTGCCCAGGTGCCCCATGAGTTGTCAGTCCGCCCCTGACTGGAACAGACTCCACACAGTGTCACCAATATTGTAGAATTCATAGGCAATTTTACTGTATATGTTTCCATTTTGTGTGTGTGTAAATCTATTATGTTGGTTTCTCCTTCAGATGTAAGCCTGGATATTATGACCTGCAAGCTGGCCGATTAGAAGGATGTTTGCAGTGTTTCTGTTATGGTCACTCGTCCAATTGCCACAGCTCCACTGATTACAGCATGAACAAGATCACATCTCACTTTGAGAAAGGTATATTACCTTTATATATGTCATGATTCCTAGATGTAAATAGTCAGATCTGTGACTAAGAATGGAGAGTGGGAAAAACACTGGCTGCAGCTGCTGTCTGTAGCTGTGCCCTGCAGTGTTGAACTAGGTAAAGTGGCTCAAAAGCCTAAACACCAAACATGTTTTACTATAATGTGTTCCCTGTATTAAAAAGTTAAAAAAATGTTTATATAGCAGAATTCCCTCCATCATCCCCCCCCCCCCTCCTTATACTTACTAGATCCAGCATTGTGCTAGGCTACAGTCTCTCCTCTCTCCCTCTTCACACAGGGACTGACAGACAGCAGCAGGTACCATTGGCTCCTGCTGCTGACAGTCAAATTCAGTGAGGAGGAAGCAAAAGTGTCTATAGACGCAGGCAGCACAGCTCAGGATCGAGCCCACAGTTGTGCCACAATAGGATATACCCCCACCCCCTTATGGTGCCACACAGAGAAGTGGGGGAGCCTTGAGTGCCAGTGACCCGAGAAGAAGAGGTTCAGGGCTGCTCTGTGCAAATCCATGGCACAGAGCAGGTAAGTATGAATCTGAAGGGGTTTTTTTTTAATGACTTTACAATCACTTTACCAGCTATATCAGCAAAATGAGGTACCTTCTGAGTAGGCAGAGTTCAATAGACTGAGTCAGTAGTATGCATGGTGGGAACTGTAGTCTTGAGGAGAGAGACACTACTGTAATCAGGAGCTTTTAAATTGCATATCCCAAAGAGAGATTGCCAAGAGAAGGGCACAGAGATGCATTTCATAACCTGTACAAGACACAGCTTCTTCTTGCCACAAGGGAGACCGGAGAGTGCATATCACTGTCCAGTGTGTATCATAACGGCTGCATATTAGCGGCCTGGGTGTATCTGGAGCGCTGAGTTCAGGGGTGCTGGCAGCCAGAGTCAGAGAGTGGACTAATCACTGTTTGTGACCAGATGATGAGCTGTAATATCACTGGGACAGGTGAGCTGCTGCTGTGTGGATTTGCTATCTGCTGCTAGAAAGACTGAGCCCTTTATGAACTAACTATACAGCCATCTAGTAGCCTTCTTGCTGTCCACAGACTTGACTTGGTCTATTCTCATGTGCACCAACAGTACAACTAGGCCCCAATGCTAGCCAGCTGAAGCGTTAGGACTAAAGACTGTCCCTTTACAGCTGCTACACAGAGACCTTTACCTAGTGCTTATGCTAAGAGGTACCTCTCAGGGGAAGTTGCACCATATTCTAACCATTCTTCTAGAGTGCCCTTAAGACTAGTTATAGTATAATTATTCACATTGCAGTTAATGCTTATATGCACTGTGTATTGTTAACTTTGATGATTCAGGAGTTACTCCCAGTCTTGTGGTACAGAACTCTATTCTAAGTTACCTTGGCATAGTGATTATATATATTATGTCTAGCAAACTCTGTACCACTATATTACGTTTATTTACCACTAAACGGTCTTATGTTTATTTCCTGGTGCCAACTTACAGCCAAGTTAAAGATATTTATACTTCTGTTCTTATAAGTGCTTGCAGTAACTTTCATTCAGCTAGGTGTGTTAGAGAGGGTGAGGTTGCTCTTGTCGAGGCGCAAAACAGAGAACCCAAATTACCAAGCAGCTCCTGCAAGAGTAGCGCTACATGTAGGAAGACATTGTCACACAAAATTTAGCAGTCATGTAACAGTTTTACTGTGTGTGCGCAAAACATACATTAAAGCGGAGTTCCAGTGAAACTGGAAAAAAAAAATAAAAGTCAGCAGCTACAAAAAAATGTAGCTGCTGACTTTTAAAAAATAGCCACTCATCTGTCCCTCGATTCCATGGTATCCTACCAGCAGTCTGCTTCACTGGCCGTCCTGTGTTCCCGTGGCCGGCATCTTCAGTGTGGGCACCCAGCTGTGACAGCTTGTGACTTCACAGCTGGGTGCCCACTGCGCATGTGCGAGTAGCGCTGTGCTTTCTCAATGGTCCCGTAGTCTTCTGCGACCTGTCATGCATCCCAGAAGTGGAAGTGGGAGTGGGTACCTGTCAATTTCAGGTACCTGCTCCCCCCTACTTCCCAAAGGTGCCAATCCTTAATGGGGTGCGGGGGACCGGTCCTTAAAGTAGAACTTCCTCTTTTGGGTGGAGCGCCCACGCTCTTTAATGCATAAGGCTTCTGTACATTTAGGGATCTGTAAATCTGTGCTCTCAGAATAAACTACTGCATAAATATTTTAGCTATAAATTCCTAAAGTGGTAAAAAAGAAGTAATTACTAAAATACACACCAGTGCTACTCCATAGACACTTGATCTTGTGACCTCGGATATACAATACAATAAGAAAGCCAAAAAATGCCCAGGAGTCCAAAGTTTTTGTTGATGCAATTGATTCATAAGAGAAAAAAATTCTAATGCGTTTCGGGGACCAAACAGACTCCCCCTTCATCAGGGCTCAGGAATTTTGACTGTGCTGAAATGGACTCAGAGAGGCAGATACCAGACAAATCTGTGGTTTTCTGCTTGGAACAGTATCAGAAGGTATGTTATGGCAAAGTTAAAAAGCATAAAATGTAAAGGGGACTTTATAGGGGAAGTCAGGTCAGACTTAACTTTGATCTTTCCCTTTAGCAGAGATCATATGACCAAGTACCTTCAAAAATGTTAACAGGGCTGAAAGCAGTAATGATCTGTATTTTCTCCTGGGATGGGAAAACTCATTCTTTCTGTTCCACATCATTCATATAGCCTAACAAGGTAGCTAAGATAGCCTTAAAGTGAATAAAATATTTACAGTAGATTCCCAGCATGCCTGTCATGCATTGACTGAGAGATGGGTTTTTTGCCTTTTTTTTAGACACATTACTTTTTCTTTTACCTAATGAATGCTGAAGCAAATTACAATATGCTGCATTGTAATAAAATAATGCATGCCTAATTTATTTGCAGCAAACACCAAGACAACACATCTTGGTGACACTATTGAAAGCAAGGCTTTTTGGCATGTCCATGCACTGGGATTCAGCAACACATCCCCAGCAGCCCAATGCATGTTGTGAAAACAAGCCTTGAAAGTCCCATATAAAAGCAGGTACCACCATGTACCTACTAATTGTATTATTTATTCACCAAATATCAACTGACTGACAGGTTTACTTTGGTTAACATTTGGCTATAGGTCCACTTTAGACCTTCATATTGGCATCTGTAGAATATTGCTTGAGATGAGCTTTTTATATAATCAGCTTTGTATGGAAAATGAACAATTAAACACGAAGACTGTAGAGGTCTGGTGTTGGTAAGTATTTAATACAGGGTTTCTTAACCAGGGTTCCTCCAGAGGTTCCAGGGGTTCCTTGAGCAATCAGCAATTGCTGCCTTTTAGATAAGTTCTCACTGACTCCATTGATCTTTTCAGCTATCTGTAAGGGGGTAATTCTTCCTAATGTTCACAAGTGTAAGGAGCATTCTTCCCACTGACCATCACACTATTGAATCATGACTTGCAGATACAGTCATTTTTAGCAGGGTTTCCCAGACACCAGAAAGTTATTTTAAGGGTTCCTATGTGCTGAAAAAGATTGAGAAAGGCTGATCTTATATATAGCTTTTGAACTATCAGATTCACTTTGCATGGCTGCTATAGTTACAAATAATCAGACCACCTCTGATTTTTAAAGAACAAAAGCAGAAGTTGAGATATTTCCTGTAGCAACCAATCAAATTCTTGATTCTTTTTACTATAAAATGAAAAATTATAGCTGACCACTCCATTGTTAACAAATCATTCACCTCAGCAAGAGCTTCACATATACAGTTCTATACCATTGTGAGTTTACTAGATTTTAAGTGTATTAACTCAGTGTGAGCCTCCGGAGTGGTTGACTATACTGTTGTGAACTTCCTCCAAGGCATTTTATGTCAGGAAATGAGTTTCCTATTTACCCCACTAATTTAGTAAGAGTTTCTAACACACATGTTTGTCTCAGCTAGTAAGCCTTCCATTAAATAAACTTCTAATAATCTATTGTTTAACATGTTTTTCTGTGAAGTTTTATCATTGGCTTTTTCTGTAGGACATTTAGCACCGATGTTTTAGGTGTCATTTATGCCTTAAAGTTAGTTCAATGCTCTGTAGGTACAGTCTCCCTGTCCATGTTTTTCATTTTCCTTAAATTAAACTCCTTTCTCTATCTGATTTTAGTTATCTTATATTTCCTATAGATGTGGAAAGTTGGACAGCAGTTCTCAAGGATGGTTCTCCAGCATCAGTCCCCATACGGATGTCCCGGCACCAGAAAGAGGTGTATCTTGCATCACGACAGTTGGAGCCCCTCTATTTTAATGCCCCAGGTAGGGTACCACTGTCATTGTCCTGTAGAAAAGGATATCAATTAGGGTACTTATTTATGCTAATGGTAGATTTTTCTTGCACTTGGAGCTTTTCTTTAATTTTTACAAACGTGTATTTGTCTCAGGACTTCATTTTAAGAACCTTGCCCTCATCAGGCCAGGAAGCATTGTCTGACCTGATGGAGAGCAAAGTGCTATTGAAATGAAAAGTACAGTATATGCAGATTAGAAATGCCTGATTGTTGATCCAATGCAGTATCCCATAACTAAGTGAATCATGTACCTTGTCTTGAAGGATAATGTCACCTTTTTAACAAAAAAATAATAAATGCACATTTTTTTGCAGGTAAAAAAAATGTGCATTTATCATTTTTTGTTTCTGGAGCCTGTTAAGCATAGCACCAGCGATCAACAGATCGCTGGTGCCATGCAGATCTCCTGCAAACCGGTCAGTGTATCTGTGTGCCCATACACCTCATACGGGCAGGCAGACACTTACTGACAGGAAGACTGAATGAACTACCACGGCACTCCACAGTGCCATGGTAGTTCATTAGCAACTACAAGCAGATAGTAGCAAAGGCTGTTGGAACTTGTAGTGTTCTCATTCACAGAATACTGAGAATGAATGGGTGGAGCCCTGCACTGCCACGTTTTTTTAAAAATTGTGACAACTAAGTGAGAGGGAGAAGATCCCCCCGCTAGCTTTCACAACAGGGATCGGGGGTGCAGAGGCTGGTCTATTTATAACATGTTACAGCCTGAATATGGGTGTAATATTTAACATGTCACAAAAGGTGAACTTATCCTTTAAATTCAAAAGGTTGTAATCTTAAGGTGAGAAAGTTTAAATTTTCTTTTAAGAAAAATAAGCCAGTGCTGAGGTCCTAAGATTTTTTTCACAGTAGTATACCCTCCCTCAAAACCATAATAAAGGTGTCACTCTCATGCGGTAGGGATGCCAACATTTTTGTTCCCATTATATAGAATCCATTGGATGGGTGGGAGTGCAATCTTTTTTTCCATCTATTTTCCGTGCAAGAGATTTCCATTGACTTCTGAGGGGAATTCAATCTAATGTAAGTCTGCTCTTAAGACCGGTGTCGTGAAGAACAAAATCAGTAGCGCACCAACTTTGGGCATTACCTCAGAGCTTTGAGGAAGAAGGGATTCCCCCTTAAAAATGCGTCAGCTTTACCCTGAGAGTCTCCCCTCTCGATGGAATTCACACATGTCTCCTATTCCAGTGCTTTGATTTTGGATTTTATATGCCTTATATATTGCCACTTTTGTGAGTATATTTCTTAATTCAATAAATTCCCCCTTTGCTTACTGAGGTAATGCGCAAGGTAGGTGCGCTTTTGTTTTTGTATCGGGCTTCCCCAGGCCTCGTGTTAGAGCTGCACAACCTTTGATCGGTTTTTGGACGAACTTTCATATATTGTTCCATCGGGCCACTTCTGATCTGGGTTCCTGAGCGCAGGAGGTGTTGTATTTGTTTCTACTTAGACAAGTGTCACCAGTATAAATGTCCCCATTGCAGGATGTCTTCTCTATTCCTGTTCTTGAGACAAATCAAACTTTTATATATTTTTCTTACCTCCAGTGACAATGGTCACAGGACAAACAAGGTGAATCTCCCAAGCAGGAACACAAACCGCAAATAAAACCCTGACCCCTCGAATGTATAAAAAAAGTTTTGCATTTATATATACTATAAGTGTCCCCAGCATATACACGTTGGTATGATATTACCAGCCATTAGGGGTAAAATATGAGTTTGGGTGCAGTTGGCATTTAAATGCGTGATGCCACTGAACTAACAATAAATGCAGTGAGTATTGGGCCTATTGAGCAGGGTGGAACATTTGAAGCTGTAACCAACCTGGTTCTGGGATGTCGTCCTCAATCTAAGCCTTGTCTTTCCACAGGAACATTCTTAGGGGACCAGTCTAATAGCTATGGCCAAGTACTGACCATCAGCTTCCGTGTGGATCGAGGCCGCCATAGAGCTGGCGTTGAAGATATTATACTGGAAGGAGGAGGCCTGAGAGTTACTGCCCCTCTTACATCATCCAAAACTGCCCTTCCCTGCCGATTACCCCAGACCTACACATTCAGGTAAGCTGACAGTATTGCCATGATCTCATTATTTCTTCAGCTAGTGGTAAAATTCATATTATATACCTTTCTATGGATCTTTCAATGCCAACCTATCTACTCAAGCTTCACAGTGTTGTAATCAGTTACATTTCTACTGCTACTTTGTTAGGGCCGGTTCACACCACAGAAACGCGGTCCGGATGTGTTTCTGCATGCATGGTTTTAATGTATTTGTGCTGAGTTCTGGTGCATTTTTTATGCATTTTAATGCATTTTCAGTGTATTTTTTCCCAATGTTTCCTGCGGTTGTTTTGCTGTATTGCCTTTTTGATCCATTTAGATGTTTTCCAGTGCTTTTCAATGTGTTTTTTTTATTTGTTTTGCCACATTTCAGTACAGCTCTGTGCAGAAAAAATTCATCCTATTCTACCTTTTCTTTTCCTGCACTGGAACTGACTGCACTGGTGTGAACTAGGCCATTGGAACTCATATAACCTGTCCATGCATTTTTGATGAAGAAAAAAATGCACTAGACTGCATCTGATGTGAACTGGCCCTTAATATGTGACTGCAAACATTATTCACATAACTTTATATTGTAACACCTGAATGTGGCTTTAAGCCAGAGCCCCAGAAGTAAACTAAATGATTGTTTGGAAAATTGCCCAATTCTTTAGCTCTATACTCAGTTCAGGCCACTGACTCAGAAAGCATTGAAGTCAATACAATCACAGTGATATTTTCCAAAGTGGATGCTAGCAGTAGCAGGCTACATTGTCCTCACATGACAGGTGCACTTTAAAGGGTGTGAAACACTGCAAAGAGGATAAGCACCAAGCAGATCATCGTAAGACCAGAAATAGCTACAGGTGACCTTGGAAGCAGCATGGACAATTGACACCTTTAATGGTCATAAACTGATGAGTTTCCTGCAATTTTTCCTCCACCATTCAATGAAAATAATGCTATTCATGTATATTTTACAGTCCATGCTATCAGCGAGGAAAAGCAGCAGTGTGTGACAGAGGTGGTGAACCTTTGTATGCTGATGATGCAACACATTGTGGCATTTTGTATTTCTAACCATCTCATTGATTTCTTGCTGTAACAGATTGGATGAGCTGTCTGGCAGCCCCTGGACTCCTCGTATTAGTCACTTTGACTTCCGACGCCTTTTAAGCAATGTGACCGCCCTGCGTATTCGTGCCACTTATGGAGAGTACAGTAAGTAATGAAAAAATTAATCATCAATAATATTATAAATAAATTGATAAATAATATAAACATCAGTGGTTTAGGACTCACTGACACCAACCAGCATGTTAGAACATGAGCGTGTTGGTGTCCGTTGTCTAGGGGTACGGGAAGTGGGTGATGCACTGTTACAAAGCAACACTTAAAGGATTATTTTCTAAAATTAGAGAGTGCAAAATCCGGTGCAGAACATGCAAACTCCAGGCAGGTAGTGCCATGATGTATATATTTATATCTACAGTACATGAGGCAGCCATATTTGTACATTACATATACAGACACTGCTTCCTACTATGCAATGGATGCATGTTCAAGCCTATGGGTCAGGTGTCATCAGCTTGAGAACTTTGAAGGTATAAAAAGCACTAACTGATCTTCTCAGCAGTCCTTAAAGCGTACTCGTGAGTAAAGAAATGGGGAAGCTGCCATTGTTTACATGGTTTTTGCCATTTTACAACTTCCAGGCCTGTCATCCTGATCCTGGCTTCACTCCCTTGTAAGTCACAAAAACCTTCAGCCATCATTTAACCAGTGAAATCTTTAGAGTCTTATTTGCTGGTATACATGTTTATTCCCGAGTAACTCACTAGTTAGTAAAGCCAGGATCAAGGTGACACTAAACCAAAGACACCAATGAGGAAGGACAAGAACCTGAAGGTAAGTACTCCTAGAGGAGTGAAGATGAACAAAAATTAAAAAAGGAAAATGTGCAGAGGTTCTAGCTTTCCTCTACTTTGCTGAAAAAAATAAAGTGTCTGCAGTTCCTCTATCATGACTGGTTGTGATTGATGTTTCGATATGGGTCTCAGCCAGGGGCGGACTGACAGTTCATGGGGCCCCCGGGCAATAGGGGATCATGGGGCCCCTTTGTCCTTGCCCAAACTCAAAAAAGCCTATGAGGGGCATCTCCTGGGGCCCCCTACTGACCCCGAGCCCTCGGGCAGTTTCCCAATGGTCAGTCCGCCCCTGGTCTCAGCACTGTCTAAGTCAGCTATTCGTTACCAAGGTTCCTCTAGAGACTGCAAGGGGTTCCTTGAACTGTAGATTACTGACCTCCTATCTGATGGTGCCTGCATCGTTCTGGGTCCTACCACCATTTGGCAGAACCAGCTGCATGACACCAATCTTCTACCCCTTTAGTCTGTAGGGGTAGTATTTTGACCAGCAATGTAAGGGACATTTTCCCACTGACCCATTAATTATTACAGGGGTTCCCTAAGACCTGAAAACTAGTTTAAGGGTTCCTCTGGAGTGAAAAGGTTGAGGAGGGCTGGTCTATGACTTAAACCATTGTAGAGTCTGGTCCACACTGACTTTATTGTGCCCAACTGGCACAGAGTACTGTTTCAGTGGAGTAATCTCTGTCCTTCTTACATTTCACAGGCACTGGGTATCTCCAAAATGTCACCTTTATTTCTGCTCGCCCCAGTCCTGGGGACACAGCACCTTGGGTGGAGAAATGTGATTGCCCTGTTGGATATAAAGGGCATTTCTGTGAGCAATGCGCCCCAGGATATCACAGGGAGTCTCCTGCACTAGGGCCCTTCAGCCCTTGCGTTGCCTGCAGATGCCAAGGAGGAGGCCTATGTGACCCAGAAACTGGTGAATATCTGATGGCTTTCTTGTCTACTGGCTATTCGAGTTATGTTCGTATTTACTCCTAATGTTTCATCGTGGAAATTCTCTTTAGGTGACTGTTACTCTGGAGATGAGAATCAGAATAATGACTGCGCTGACTGTCCTCATGGGCAGTATAATGACCCTCGTGACCCCCAGAGGTGCCTTCCATGCCCATGCAGTGCTGGGGTTGGTTGCTCGTTGTCTCCAGAGACACAAGAGCCTGTGTGTGACAACTGTCCCGTAGGACTGAGTGGTGTAAGAATGCATTACCTATCACATGTTCTTATGTTGTGTTAATTCTGATTTTTGGTGGGACTCTTGTACTTCTCTCCAAATTGATTGTAAGAGTTTGGGAATAAGAGAGCAGTACCTGGCACTAAGTACATGGCAAAAAGTTGTGCGTGATCCAAATACCACTTTTTATTTATTTGCTAATTATTTCACATGCACACGCTCAGATCACACAAATGTGCACATGATCTCACCCTACTGCCTGCCTTTTCTAGGAGGAAAGTCTACACATTTTTTTCTGGGTGAACTGCAAGTCTGTATTACAGTACACTCTAGTGGATGAGAAATGAATTACACAGGGGAATTGCTCCAATGCATCTAAAAGAAACCTGTTCTGAAGGAAATATGAGGGCTGCCAGGCTGACCTTCTTCTTTAAACATGCTAATTGCCTGGCTTCCGTGCTTTCGGAATCACAAATGTGAAACAAATATGCAGCCAATAAATCCTAATATCCCACCTGCATACTTGTTCTACAAGTAGTGACCTATTTAAAGCCATTGAATTAACTCCACAGTCATTTTTGTAGTCAGCAAATAGAAACAGTCATGGGCATAATATGCCATTGTTTATTCCCCTATGACAATGCTAGTTGCCTGAACATCTGGCCTCAGTTCCTTTTTAATTGCTGAGCAGGAATAAGTATGGGGGGGGGGGGGGGGGGGTCAGAAGTTCTGACCTCAATGGCTGTAAACGTGTTTCAAGCCAGTGACTCATAAAGTTTTAAAGTCAGACAGCCAGGCAGCTAGCATTTTCAGGAGGAGGCTAGTAATAGCAGTTCCTGTATTTCTCACAACATGTTTAATGTAAGAAGGGAGATGTATCAAAGTGAAATAATAAACTGTATAAACCAATAAACTAATGCTGGTCACCAACAAGTTACAGTTGGATTTACAATCTTCGTGTTACGCCTTTACATTTACCAACCTTGCAGTGCAGGACCTAAATAATACATTCAATTTCTGTCCAGTCAGGTAGTCCCTCAGACTACATCATTGTTGGTAAATCTAGAGGCCATTGTAAAGTTCAATAGTAGTGTGTGATCATCTTAAAGTGTATCGGAACCCAAACACAAAAATGTGATGTATTGCAGCTTTCCAATCCTTGGATGTTGTGTCTGCATTAGTTTATTTTTTTTTTTTTCCTTTTTTTCTTAATTTCACCTGTTTTTTTTTCCTTATTTTTCTGTAATTTTTTTAATCTTATGTTCCTAACTTGATAAAAGTTTATTAATATCGTGTGTTGGGTTTCAAATTCCACTTTACCTTAGATTGTACGCCCCTTGAGGGTTGGGGACTAATGGGAATGTACAATATATATATGTGTAAAGCACTGCATAAATGGATGCTGCTATATAAGTACCTGAAATAAATAAATAAATAAATAATATGCGTTGGCTACCTCCTTAGCCCCAGGCTGTCTGGTCCCCTGCTGATTTGACACCATTGACAGGCAGCTTAACTCTTCAATATGACACAGAAGTTGAAACCATCGCAATTTTGCCTCAGCTAATTGCAGAACAGAGAATGTTTTTCCAGTCCAGCTTTTTACCTTCATGCATTCTATTCATAAAGGTGAAAAAACTTTCTGTGTGCAGTGGCTCCCCCAACCCCCCCCCCCCCCTCCCCAATCCTTACCTGAGCTCCCTCTGAACCAGTGACTCTTTCTCATTGGCTGAGACAGCAACAGGAGCCCATTGGCTCCCGCTGCTGTCAAAAACAGCCAGTGAGCCAATGAGGAGAGAGCAAGGGTGGGGCCAAGCCACAGCTCTATGTGTCTTATGGGCACATAGAGTATTAGCTCGGGGATGAGCATGCAGAGGTGTCCCCAGAGCGAGCGGCTTTCTCTGGGGGCACTGCTTGAGGAGGAGGAGGAGCTAGGAGTGCTGGCGGGGACCCAAAAATAATAGGATCAGGGCTGCTCTGAGCAAAATCACTGCACAAAGCAAGTAGGTATAGACATGTTTGTTATTTTAGAGAAAAAAAAAGCTTTAGTGTCACTTTGAGAAGACAATAGCTTTCCTAAGCCTTGTCTCTGTGAAGAATTAACATTGACTGACGGATCATGAAAGAAGTAGGGAGGGTTTAGATAGCACTAAACCAACTAGCACTAAACAGGAGGGGAAGACAGAGAAAGATACCAAAATCACCTTAATAAACAATTGATAGTGGCCCAAAACCACCACTGGATGTCAGCATACTAATAAACAATAACAACCTAATGAAGTTCAATACAATATGGACAAAAAATACATGAAAGTGAGGCAGAACCCAGTTACCATATCTAAGGACTAGTAAGCTGCAATACATAAAACTTCTGTTCTTAGGGTAAATGTCATCAGATGATAAACAATCCTTAGTACTGTCCCTTGTCACACTAGGTCCTCGCTGTGAAATATGTGCTGACGGATATTTCGGAGACCCCCAGGGACAAAATGGACCTCCTAGGCTGTGCAGACCCTGTGCCTGCAATAACAACATTGATCCCACAGTGGAGGGCAGCTGTGACCAAGTGACGGGAGAGTGCTTGAAATGTCTTCATAACACAGCTGGTTTCTACTGCGATAGATGCCGTGAAGGATCCTTTGGTAACCCACTGGATCCAAACCCAGAACGCAAGTGCAGAGGTATTTCATTATGTCCACACTCCAGCTGCTTTACACATTTTGCATTACTAGTTTATAAAAAGTCTTTTATCTGTTCAAAACTCTTTATAAAGTGCACTTTAAAAAAGCATAAATACTGTGCAGGGACATGATTAAAAATTAATTTGTAAATGCATTGAAAACCAATTAATCTGTTCTGGAGGTCAGAAAAAAGTCAAAAAAAGTTTTATCTGTTCAAAACTCTTTGAATAAGGCATAAGTACGTTCATTTATTTATCCCATTTTGAGTACCGTATTTTCCGGCGTATAAGGCAACTGGGTGTATAAGACAACCCCCTAATTTTCCAGTTAAAACATAGGTTTTGGGCTATACTCCCCATATAAGACTACCCCCCTTCTGAGGCAACACCATTTAAAAACATCAGATTTTTTAATTGAAATGGTTATGACTTACCGGTACTTAAAATCCTTCAAAATCCTCATGTTCATCCTCTGACATCATAAGTTCATGAATGACATCTTGTGATACATTTGTAAGACAGTCATCATATGGATCAAATTCCAAATCAGATGGTTACATGTGCGGTAATTTCGGCTAAATACAGTATACAGTATATATACAGCCCGCTGGATGTGCGGTAATACGGTAGCTTCGGCTACATACAGTATACAGTATATATACAGCCCGCTGGATGTGCAGTAATGTACATTTACAGTATACCGTGCTGAGCCAAGCTGGCTCAAAACAAATGTCCCTATGACAGATTAATCTGTCAGCCCGCTGGATGTGCGGTATATACAGTATACTGAGCCAAGCTGTTTCAAAACGTACCGGTACGTCCCTACTGAAATCAGACCGCTGGATGCGTGTATGTACAATAGCTGCGGCTACATACAGTATATGCTGGGCCAATCACGGCGAGTGATGTATTCTACTAATGAATACAAAGCCTGCTCGGATTGGCTGAGGTTGTGACATAATCAGCCCACCTCTCTGACTCAGCCAATCCGAGCAGGCTTTGTATTCATTAGTAGAATACATCGCTCGCCGCAATTGGCCCAGTGTATACTGTATGTAGCCGCAGCTACCATACATACACACATCCAGCGGACTGATTACAGTAGGGACGTACCAATACGTTTTGAAACCGCTTGGCTCAGCGCAGTATACTGTATATACCGCACATCCAGCGGGCTGACAGATTAATCTGTCATAGGGACATTTGTTTTGAGCCAGCTTGGCTCAGCACAGTATACTGTATGTACAGTATTACCACACATCCAGCCAGCTTGACCCAAACAAACTCAAGGTTCACATTTTATACTCCGCGTATAAGACGACCCCCAATTTTTGGGGTATATTTTTAAGTATAAAAAGTAGTCTTATACGCCAGAAAAATACTGTACACATATGATAATTATGGACTTGTTATCTTCACTTACTGCACAAATTGCACAATAGCACTTTAATACTGAATTGTATATACAATATTTATTATCATATATTGATTGATTGATTGATTGATTGACATCATACGGAGATTATTGTTATTTATTATTTGCACATTGCACAGTTTTGCACTTATAGCACTTTATACCTACTGTGTACCATCTATATACATATATAGATAATTATATAATTTGAGAAAGCGCTGCACTCTTCAGTTTTGTGATTACGTTACCATGGATTGTTACCCATACCCTTTTAGTGCTAGCAGCTATCTGGTATAACTATTACTCTTTACATATCCTATGTGTATTTTTTTTTTTTTTTTATTTAAATATTTATTAATCATTTTCACAGAAATAACAATAGAAAGATAAAAATAGACAATTTCATCTCAAACATCATAAATATACAATTATTTCTTGTTTCTTCCTTTACCCCCCTCTTAAAACCTTAACCCCTCCCCCCCCCCTCCACTCTGCATTTCCTTGTCTTGTATCCAAAGCAAGCATATCCTTCCCAGTTATTTCTCTATGACGTTCTACTTATCACTTTCTCATACTTGTTACAAAATTTTCCCATTTTTCCCATTTCGCGAGATATAATTCCAACTTATCTTCCTGTTATAATATGTCTTCTCCCTCTCCTTAGTCCAGTTTACTCTCTCTATCCACTCCTCTTTCGGTATTTCTTTTTTCTTCCAATACTTGGGGATCAGGCTTTTTGCTGCATTCAAGTAGTACCCCAAACCTAATTTCTTATATTTACTAACTGATATCTCTGAACTGTGTAACAGGCACATCCCAGGATCTGACCCAATGTTCATTTCAATGATGTTCTCTATTAAATATATTATTTTTTTCCAGAATATTTGAATCTTTGGACATTCCCACCAAATGTGATAAACTGTCCCCACTTCCCCACACTCTCGCCAACACCGCTGTGATTTCTCCACACTTATCTTACCCTCCACACTCGGAACAATGTGCCATCTTGTCAAACATTTATAGTTTAATTCCACATCCCTCAAACTTACATTTCCGTGAACTAATCTATTTATTTTTTTTCTGTTTTCCTTCATCTAAATACCACCCCCCATATCTCTTTCCCAATTCACAATGTGCAATGGTTTAGTGTTTGTGTACAAATCTGTGAGAATTCCATATACTTTAGCTATTCCGTGTTTCCCATCACCCCGTGCATCTAACAGCCTTTCAAACAAATTCCATTCCTTTTTGGATCTCAGGGGTTTTGGGAGATTTCCCCAAAAACATTTTAATTGATAATAACGCCACTCGTCTAACCTAGTGAAGATGTTTCCCTTTTCCTTTTCCAACTCTTTAAAGGTCTTCAATTTCCCATCCCCCATTATATCTCTGAGTTGGACATCCTCCTTTATAAACCATCTACCTGTTATCTCTTCTCTACCTGGTGTAAAATATTCTGTGTTTCTTAGTGGCATAAGTATAGAATTAAATTTTTGTGTATTTTATCCCATTCCCTTAATACATTTACAGTGTACACACTTAAATCCTCCCTTAATCCTCTATATTGTGTCGGTATCCATATTATTCTATTCAAATTAGTTCCACTAAGTGTATTCTCAATTTTTACCCAACTCTTCCCCTCAAAATTAAACGTCTAGTCAAAAATTCTCCCTAATATTACTGCTTTATAATATCTCTTTATATCTGGAACTCCCAAACCTCCCTTCTTTTTATCTCTACTTAATATTTCGTGGGACACCCTCGGTTTTTTTCTTCCTCCAAATATATCCCGTTATCATTCTTTTTATTACTTTAGAAAAAGCTTCCGGGAGTTTAATTGGTATCATTTGGAATCTGTATAAAATTTTTGGTACGATTATCATTTTTACCAGGTTTTATACGTCCTAACCACAATGGAATTCCTCTCTCTAATGCTTTTAATTCCCCCTTTACTTCATTTAGTAATGAAATATAGTTTAGCTTATACAAGGTTTTATACAACGCGCTAAGCCTTACTCCCAAGTATTTTATATCTCTTTCTTTCCAAATAAAGGGAAATTCTTCTTGTATTTTCTCTTGTTCACTCTTTGGGATATTTATGTTTAAGATCTCTGTCTTTGTTGGATTAATTTTTAAATTTGATAATTCTCCATATTCCTTCAGCAGCTTCATTAGGTTTGGGAGTGTTATCCTGGGATTCCCCACATAAAACAGCAGATCATCAGCAAAAGCTGCCACTTTATGTTCTACACTTCCTATCTGAATTCCCCTTATATCTCCATTCTTCCTTATTGTTGATAAGAGAGGCTCTAATGACAAAACATATAATAAGGGGGATAAAGGGCAGCCCTGCCTTGTTCCATTTGACATCCCGATGGGCTCTGTTTTTTTCCCCATTTACTATTACCACTGCAGAGGGTTTACTGTACAGTTTTCCAATCCATTCCCTCATTCTACCTCCAATTCCCAGGGCTTCTAAGGTGTCCATCATGAAGCCCCAGTCTACTCTATCGAAGGCCTTTTCTGCGTCCACTGAAAGGACCACTACCGGTACCTCCCCCTTTTTACCTCTCTGTATCAGCATCAGGGATCTCAACCCATTGTCCCTGCCCTCTCTTCCCGGGACAAAGCCCACCTGATCTCCATGATCCATTCAGGCATAAACTCCTTCAACCTATTCGCTAGGACCTTTGCATATATCTTAGTGTCTAAATTCAACAGTGAAATGGGCCTATAACTCGAGCATTGCGAAGGAGTCTTTCCCTTCATTATGTAACAGTACTACATGAGCCTGTAAAGATTCCCCTCTCATGTCCATTTCTCCTCCCAGGGCATTCATATATTTTTCTAATTTGGGTATTAATATTTCGCTAAATTTTTTTATAGTACCCTGCTGTATACCCATCTGGTCCTGGACTTTTCCCCATCTCCATGTTTTTTACTACAACCTTTATCTCTTCTTGTGTGATCTCTGCTTCTAGGGAATTTAGTTGGTCCTCTTTTATTTTCGGTAATCCCGCCTTTTTTAAAAAAATCTTCCTTTTTTTCCTTTTCCATATTATTTTTTTCCTCGTATGGGATAATATTATACAACTTCCTATAATAATCCACAAACATCTTTGCGATCTCTTTATTTGAGTGGACCAAATCTCCCTTGGGGCTCTTTATTTTGTCTATATAATTCCTATTTTTTTTTTTCCTTAAGGATCTCATTAGATATTTTCCTGGCCTATCTCCCCATTTATAATTTTCACATAATACTTTATTATACACTCTCCTTCTCTCCTCTTCCATTAGAGTTTCCAGTTTCTCTTTCTTTTTTATTATCTTCTGCTTAATTTCTTTTACCATTCTATTTTTATGAGCCTGTTCTAACTCCGAAATATCCTTTAAGATCCCACTAATTTTTTCTCTTCTTTCTCTTTTTTTTTCTTGCCCCTATTGCAATCAGAATTCCTCTTATATATGACTTGTGAGACTCCCATACTGTTGCCTTAGACACATCCTCTGTCTCATTCTCTCTAAAGAATCTCTCAATTTCTTTCCCAATCCTTTGTGCAATATCCTTGTCCATGAGAAGTGCCTCATTCAGCCTCCAACCTACCCCTTCTGTTCTCCTCTTTCCCCATCCCATCCTCAATATGACCGGGGCATGGTCCGAAAACGTCATTACTCCTATATCTGCTTTAACCACTGAGTCTATAAAGTGATGTTCTATCAATACATAGTCCAACCTTGAATACATCTGATGTGCATTAGAGAAGAATGTGTAGTCTCTATCCTTCATATGCAAAATTCTCCATGCGTCTACCAATTGGCAGTCATGGATCACCTTCTTTAATAGTCTCAAAGATCTACTCCCCTCTCGCTGCACATTAGAAGTTGTATCCCTTTGTGGATCCATACAAAAATTAAAATCTCCCGCCACTATTATACAACCCTCTTTAAAATCCATCAACTTTTTTAGTACACCCTTCAAGTACTCCTCTGGTTTTTTTTTTTGGACAATAGATATTAGCTACTCTACACTCCCACTCTTGTATTTTACCCTTCAAAAACAAATATCTCCCCTCTGGGTCCACTTTTCTATCCTTCAGTTCAAATCTTATATTTTTTCTGAACCCTATTGCCACACCTTTAGCTCTCTTAATCGGGGAATCTGCATACTACCATGTTGGGTACTCTCTAGATTTCAGCTTCACCTTAGATTCTATCTCGAGATGTGTCTCCTGCAAAAAAACCACCGAAACTGCTTGGTGATGTAATTCCTTAAATAACCTAAATCTTTTCCCAGGACAGTTCAACCCCTTCACATTATAAGTGATAACTTGTAAATCTTCCATCCTTTTTATATCCTTCTTTTTTCCCTTCTAACTGGAGATCTCATAACTATCCTCCTTCTCTTTACGCTTGCTTTTTATACCTCTCTCTATCCTGCAGAGTATTGCCCTTATTATCCATTTCCCTCCCACCCTCACCTCCCCCCCCCCCAACCCCCCCTCCCTAACCCTCCCCCCCTGCCATTTCCTCTCCCCCCCCTCCCTCCCACCTCCCCACCCCCCCCAGGCCTCCTATGCCTTTGGATCATATTCCACTTTTGATCCCTCTATAGGGGTTCGACTCTGCCCATGACCGCTTACCTTCCCCCCCTCCTCCCCACTGTTCCCTTATCTATTGGTTCTCTATTTCCTCTTTTAACGAGCTGCCACTTTCCTGACCCACAAATATCCAGCTCTCCCTCCTGCCCTTCCCAACCAGATATCACTTGTCTCTGCAGTCCAAATTTATCACAAAATTCTTCCATATCCTCCGAGAATCTTAAGATAGCTGTAGTTCCATCCCTCCACCCAATTAAGCTTAAGTCACGGCCCCATCTATATTTCACTCCTTTTTTTTTTTCATTGCTTCCAATAGGGGTTTCAGTGATCTCTTCCTTCTCAGAGTTTCTGCTGTCAAATCTGCAAAAATTTGAATATTTTTCCCTCCATATATAATGTTTGATCTTCCTTTAATCTTTTTCCATATCTCTTCTCTATCTCCATAATTGTGAAATTTAACAATTATATTTCTTGGTTTTTTTTTATGTGTATGCGTTCGCTTATACTTTCTTGAAATAATAAATATGTAAAGCGCTGCGTAAATTGACGGTGCTAGCTAAGTACCTGTAATAAATAAATATACAAGAAACTGGCATGTCATTTAACCCACCAGTATGCACCCAAAGGTAAAATATCAGCTTTAGCTGTGGCTTGGCTTTAGAAAGTCATAAAAAAGTCTCATTAATACTTATATGATATAGGAGAGAATAGAGTATAACTCATGTAACCCATCTAGGAGTGCAATGTGTTTATTGTCAGCCTATTAATACTGGAACATTACAAACTTGCATGCAATAACCTGACCAGCCTTATACTCACTCAGCAATTTTTCAGGGAATATGAAGTGCTGGTGGAGCAAAAACTCGGTCGGGATTTTGCATGAAAGTTTATGATGTTCCTGTTTTAATAACCTAGTAATAAAAACTGTTTTATTGCTACTAAATTCCCATCAGTTTTAGAGGTGTTATATAAGATTGAGCCTTGCTTCTCTGCTTTAAAAACTACCTACAAAAACAAGCAGTGGGCTGCAGCTGATTGCTGAACGTATCACAGACTTTTTCTTTCCCCACATTTTAATAAATCATATCCAAATAAATGAAATATTCCATGATTTTGTCTGATGGAAACTCAGCTGGCCATAGGGAGAGATTTACTAAAACGAAGTGAACCTATAATATCTTCAAACATCAAATCATGTGCCTTGATGACCTCTCCTTTTCATGGTAATCCAATGGCTTTAGAACATTATGAGATATTGGACCTAGAGAGGTATGCAGATCAGGAGCTCTGATTTCACTTGCTACATGCTTGTTCAGGATCAGTGGCTAAGGCTAGATATTGCCAGGTAACTAGCATTTTGGGATGCCTGCAACTGGGTCTCTATATTGCTCTCTGTACAGGTTTCCTTTAAGGAATGTCTGTTACTTTGCCTATTCAGGTCAAAGTGGCCAGGTACCTTTAGAGGTCTTCCATCACCCACCCCCACTGATATTTTCCCTGTGATACCTTGTTCTACCCTAATCCCTGTGTAAGATCAATGTCGGTCTGTGTTGTAACCTGGTTGATGTCCTTCTCCTGTCTCCCATATGACAGTGTTGGGGCCTGGTGATTTGCCACTCAGGCCTGAGCATTGCATCCTAAAAGTGGAGAAGGTCAAATGCTCCCCCATATCTGGAAGTACAGGATATTGCCAAGGATTCCAACTGATAAACACAGAGGGGAGCACAGCAAAGGCGAATATCAGTAGGAGGGGGTGTTATTAAATAAAACAGTCATTTTTCCCTGCCCTAGTTCAAGTGACAGATTTTCTTTATACAAAGCCATTCGCTGAACGTCAATTCAAAGTTACAATTTCTTCCTTTGCAACAAGATGGCGCTATTCTATTAGTGTCTCTTAGTGTTCATCAGCTATGAAGATAGGTCTCTCTACTATACAAATAATAGTAGTCTCTAATGTGCCTAGAGAAATAGAATTTATTTTGCCCCTCCAGGCTGGCTATGGTGGTATTGTGCAATGATCATATGAGTGTATACGACAATCGTCAGGCATCCCATGGTTGAGCCTGCTAATGCATTGGGTATTGGTCATACCAATCAATTACTACTGTTTTCCCCCTAGGTAGTCTGATTCAAATGTCTACTGAGTGCCCCCTACCTCCTCATAGCACAAATGTGCACATTGCCTGGCTGTCATTTTAACCCCATGGCTTCCATACTTTTTCTCACTGACCCCAAGCAAGTAATCAGATAAGGGTTTTTGAATTTTCTGCAACTTTTCTGAACTCCATGCTTGTTCCAGGAAAGTGACTCAAAAAATACTCAGCAGTTCAGCACAATAGCCAGCAACTAGCAGTTTCACAAGCAGGTTTGCAATCACCTACTTCTTACTTCTGTTAAGACGCAATGTTCACTTTAAAATGCAGTGCAATCAAAATACCTGAGTGTAGTGTAAAGCTCAGAGAATGCCAAACAGAAATTAGAGTGTGACCTTCCTTTTAACTCTGTGTGTTTCCTTTCCCAGAGTGTTATTGTCACCCTGTGGGTTCTCAGCAAGGTTCATGCCAGGCTGATGGCTCATGCCTGTGCAAACCAGGATTTAGTGGTGAAAACTGTGATCAACCGGAGTGCCCCAGCTGCTATGACCAAGTCATTGAGATGGTGAGTTCCTTGCACAGTGGTTCAATGGTTAAAGTGGACCTGAATTCATAACACAATTCTAACAGTCTTGCTGGGGGGGACATAGATTAACAGCAGGGGAACATACTGCTCCAGGATCCTTTGAGTAGTGCTTGCAAAGTCAAAATCCTGGGAATTTGGTCATGTTATCTCTGCTGTAGGAGACGATCATAGGTCACACTGGATTACTTTCTCCATTGCCAAAGATTAAGGATCCAAGCACACTAGTGTTTTATAAGTTTAAAAACCTGAAAAATGCTGGTAATAAAGTTTTTAGAAGTGTTTAGTAGCATTTTAGTAGCGTTCAAAAGCATTTAGGAGCATTAGCGTTTTATTAGCGTTTTTGCAGTACATGTAGAGAAAGAATGAGATGAGTGGGACACTCCAAAAAAGGAACTTTGTACATTGAGGACTTTGTCTAATCTTCAGGGCAGGTTATATTGGAGTCCTTGCTTGAATCAAACAGTGGACTTCAGCCTAAGGCAGTAGAAACCAGCAGTAGCAGTAACAGCAGTAACTTCTTTAGAGCCCAGAGCATTGTCCTTTTGAGTAGTAGCGTGCAGGTGGAATCTCTTTGGATCATCAGCCGGTGTTCCCTTTGCTAAACCTGCAGCTGACTTCCCAGCTCCAGAGGAGGTTAAACAGCACTCAGTCTCCAAGATCCTTTCAGAATGGTTTTACTCAGAAGGCCTAAAATCAGCTGGGTGCTTTCCTCTGTGATACCAGACCAGCTCTTCAGTAGACAGCCCCTCAGTCAGCATAACAGAACCTGGGTCTCAACATTCAGGCCCTCAGGTCGCCCACCTGAGGCCAATGGCAGCAGCTGCCTTGGAGGGCAACGTGCCCTCTCCGAGACTTGGGTAATCCTATCCAGGAATGACCCAGAGCCCTGTGTGCTCACTGAATAGATATGGTTACCCAGCATGCCATCAGAGCCCCTGTCTCTCTAGGGTAAGCTGAGGCTGTATCCATATTCATGCTGCTATCTGCATAAATCCACACCTATCATCCAGAAATTTCTACAGTTTCCTGGATGCAGAGAAGGCCAGGCAGAGTAGCAGCAGCTGAGCTCACAGAGCAGACCTAACTAAATGATCACAGCTCACCCAGTACAGTGAGCTAACTATACTTTTACCTAGCAAATATTTACAGCCATTCTGACTACAGAGCGACAAATAAATTTACCTATCAAAACACAACTAATCCTATCTATCTAATCCTAGTACCTAGATAGAAGGGTGCTACATAAGGAATTCTGTGAAACGTGGCAGTGCCAAGCGAGTAACCCCCTGTGGTCAGTGGGGCAGCCACATGGCACAGGGCCTAGAATATCATGGGTATCGCTGTAGTAGCACCTATTACTACAGTGATCCCTTAGATATGAGGTATGCATATCTACACTGAACCAATGTAAGTATGCAATTCAGATCATAGCTGGAGTTCAACTTTAAGCAACTAAATACTTTGGTTGTGTAAACAAGGAGGAACCCTGGAGCTGCATGTTTCCAAGATGGGAACGTATTTCTGCAATTCTGTTACTGTTTATTTACCCATCCAGGGGCGGACTGACCATTAGGAAACTTGGGCACTGCCCGAGGGCCCGGGGTCACTAGGGGGCCCCATGAGATGCCCCTGGTACCTTTTTCATAGGCTTTTTTGAGTTTGGGCAAAAACACAGGGGCCCCATGATCCCCTATTGCCAGGGGGCCCCATGAGTTGTCAGTCCGCCCCTGTACCCATCCCATGAGCACTGAGATATTTAAGGCTATGCCTTTATTCCTAATATCACATTTGTATCTGATTATCCAGATGGCTTCATACAAGGGACAACTGCAGCAGTTGACTGGTTCCATTAATGGTCAAATGCACACCCAGGACCATCGTCACCTGGAGGAACAGATGAGAAAAGTGGAGGAGAGATCTCGGAATATGTTAAGGGAGGCCGAATCTGCTCATGGTGAGATGCAAGTAGTTTACCACATCACTAGCAATTTGTGTCATTTCTGACTCTTTTGTGTGACTATAATATATTTAGTGTGTTAGAATATTGTATATGAAAAAGTTCTCCATGAAAACATAATTCTTACAAATAGAGGGGGTGCCACTTCAGTATTGCTGGTCATTCTATTGTATGGATCATAAACATTGGGGTTGATTTACTAAAACAGGAGAGTGCAAAATCTGGTGCAGCTCTGCATATAAACTTCCAGGTTTTATTGTCAAAGCCTAATTGAGCCAGCTGACGTTAGAGCTGATTGGTTTCTATCCATAGCTTCACCAGATTTTGCACTCTCCAGTTTTAGTAAATCAACCCCATAGATTGAAGAGGAATACTAGGTCAGTGGATTTAATCCTGTATACAATTCTATGTTTACAAAATTAAAGTGTTCACTCAAAGTGGTATTTCAGTTTATGGTAAATACTAAAGGGTTACATTACTTGACACATTTTTACATCTCTATTGTTGAGACTTCTTTGCTGAGTTCCTAGTTCTGTATACCTGCAATGGCCACCCTCCCTATTGGATTTTGCTGTTGGAGTATCCAAGATATACAGGAAACCAGGGGCTTCACCTGTAACTAAAATATCACTTCAGATGGACTGAGCTTTTAATGAGTACAGCTGAGCCAACTCCTATTGTGGCAGGTTAAAATATTTCAATTGTAATCTACTTCATTACTCCTATATATGATGCAGGGGGCGACAACTCCAACATGCTTCAAGGTGGAAATGGTTCGGATAACAGATGATGTATTACAGTGGGTACATTTCCCTGGGTCTGTGATCTTCACATGTTCTATTGTCATCCAAACTTTTGGATGTTTGGCAGTATATTTATATTGTAAAGCGCTAAGCAAACTGTTGGCGCTATATAAATCCTGTATAATAATAATATTAAATATTTTTATTCTTGTCCTATACATTTGTGTTCCAGTTGCTTTAACATGCCTTGTCTATGGGCATCATTCCTTAGGTACACATCCTACTGACACAAAAATACTTACTCTACGACACTCAAATTTAATGTGCCATAAACAATCCCAAATGTAGTTCCCAATGTCATACCCAAATCTGTAACTATAGCCATAGCAGACCATGCATCTACACTGAGTGGCAGATACTCAGGGGGCCCACAGCTGTCTGGCTGCGTAATGATTAATGTGAATAGCAATAGAATTTGGTAAAGAGTTTGGTAACCTCTTTTTGATTTCTAATAATTAGTATTTTGCGTCACTAGGTTATTATTGCCTTGAGATGCATATTCGTGAGATGGGGGCTCATTAATGGGTTTGCTTTTGGGCTACATCAGACATAGTTATGGCCCTGATTATATCCATTAATAATGACCATCCTTAGGTGATTTGATGTGTGGAAGAAAAATTAATTAAGTTACCATGTTCCTGTTTATTAGCTACAGAACAATCTCTGCAAAGACAGATGTCGACACTTCGGGGGTTACAGACTGATACCCAGAATGACTTGGTACATGCGCAGGCAAAGATCCAGCAAGTACAGGCCCAGACCGGAGAGTACCAGAGCCGCCTGCAAGAGACCAAGATGAAGATAGCAGAGGCTCGGCAGCAGCTTGAGGGGGGCCAGGTGGAATTGAACCGAATGGTGAGTTCTATCAGTCACATTACAAATAACATCAGGTGATTACAATGGGGGTGTTTTAAGAAATCACTGTGATTATTTTCAACCTCTTAATAGCTAAGATTATTTATATAGCTATTTAGTAGCTATTCTTTTATTGGAATGTACCTTTTAAAACTTTAAGACAGTTATTGGTCTTTAAAGAAGGCATGCACCAAACTCTGTCTTTGAGACACAAGATAACAAAAAATAAGATTAAAATAAAATAAATTAAAAAATAAAATAAAATAAAAAATAAAATAAAATAGCGCAACAGTGCTCTGTATGCCCAGCCCAATGAAATTCCTCAAAGGATTCATTCACTTCATCTGGATATCTCAGCTGTAAAGAGATTTATAGAAGCGCAAATACCTCCTATATGAATGCCTAATGTGTGTTCAGATAAAATAAATTCAATAAATAAGGCAAAATTCCATAAGTTCATAGTAGTCCTTTTTTGTTTCATCTGAACACACATTAGGAGATATTTGCACCCTTACACATCTTTCTTGTTTGCCTGATAGTCTTCCTGCTTTTGCTTTCTCTGGCAGGTTTGAGCTGCTTTTACTCTGGACTGATCTTTACTTTTACTTGTTCTCCTAGGATTTGGTGTGTTTTTTATGAATGGTACGGTCTCTCCTTTAGTTTGTCATTTCCATAGTTCTCACCGTGAAATCTTCAGCCCATAAATTCTTCTACTTCAATATTGTTTGAGAGATGAGTAATTATATTGCTTTTGCATAACAGACTTTTCCTTCCGAGAATGTGAGCTGGAATTCAAGCAGATTTTCAACACTTGGTCAAGAAGCCCAGAAAATAGCTGCTAGGTAAGATCACATCTTGTACATATGTAGAGAAATGTTGTTTCGCTCGCCATGCCTCACTACAGCAAGGCATGATGGAACCCATTGCTTTCCTTCTCACGTTTCCTCGGCACAAGTATCATTGTCAGGCAACCAGCCTATGCCAACAGAGTGGCTTTGTGCTATTGTGGGGGGGGACCGCTGCCTCCTGAACCCCTAAAGCTGAACTCCAGGCACAAAAACTAACATGTAAATGTATTTCTCAAAAGCAACAGAGGATATAATCCACTTTGTACGCACCAAATTCCTTTACAGATTCAGATATTTTCATCTAAAAGTAGCAGTGAAATCATTTCTGTGCTGTACATAGCATGTGCAGAGAGCAGAGCTGTGGGAGGGGCTTAGAAGGCTCCACCCAGTACAGTTTGCCTGCAGCAAACTACAGGAGGGGCGGAGACAAGACCAGTCACCCTGCACTGGGAGAGAGAGCAGCAGTGACCAGTCTGTACTACAGGAAGCTCCTGCACAAAGGAAATAATTCACATTGAATTACTGCCGAAATACACAAAGCACACTAAGATTCAATGAAGAACAAGCATGACTCTTATATTTAGATAATATTTCCTTATCCCGGAGTTCAGCCTAAAGTTGCAAAGATATTGTTTCATTCTGAGTGATACACACGGCAATGGGTGGAGTTTAGAATCCGTGTTCCTAATCATAGGTTTAGCATTAGGTGGTCTGAAAACAGATTGCTGGCAGTTTGTACCCCAGCATTACCAAATGTCCGGGAAGAGGGGAAACATGACATGTCCAGATATACAACACTAATGCAGCTGCATCTATATCGCTGTATACCGTATACTGTATGATGATATCAGGGGTGGCTGGATCATCGCTAGCCTTTTGCAACAGGAAGTTTGGTCTCTAAGGAATATTAATGAATCATGACTTTTTTGTTGTTGAGATGAACACATAGAACACTGTGTAACACATAGATGGAACCAAACCATGTGCTCTGTGGCAGAGAGCAAGTCATACTCCATCAATAATGAAATAAAATACAAACCAGTATGACAGTTAATTAATGGTGAAAAAAATTGTGGGAGTTTGGGGGATGTTAGAGATAATTAGGTTTTATTGTGTTTGGTTGCCAACAATGTGATCACATCTTATTTCGGAATGAATTTCTATAAAATAACATGGAAAGAAAAATGAGTTCATCTTTCAGCACCATTATCTTCTTCATGTCCCTCCACACTTCCTATGTATCTTATGGAATCCTTTCCTCTTTACCAAACTCAGACTCGAGCAGGAGGCCCAGATGGTGGTACAGATCTCAGGAGACGCCCTGGCAGATACACAAAGAACAATGCAGATTCTACGGTCAGGAGATGCAGACCCCGATGCTGCAGAGAAACTGAGAACAAGGTATAAGGTTCTATAATGGTGCAATATGAAGAGGACACGATGGGGCAGATGTATGAAGGGGTTGTGTCTCGTGACACTTTACACTGTAATACGCACTTATACATGACACTTTACATGTCTGCGTCTTGCACTGTTCAACAAGAACACATGGTCACAGTAGAGCTGTGCTTTCATCACATAGGAAATCTTAGTTGATATTCCATAAATATTCCAAAAAATGTTATCCTTGTGGTGTTCCATTTGCCAGAGGCTGACATATGGGGGTAACTACCAGGGGTGGACTGACAACAAATGGGGCCCCGGGCAATAGGGGATCATGGGGCCCCTGTGTCCTTGCCCAAGCTCAAAAAAGCCTATGAAAAAGGTACCAGGGGCATCTCATGGGGCCCCCTACTGACCCCGGGCCCTCGGGCAGTGCCCGAGTTTCCAAATGGTCAGTCCACCCCTGGTAACTACAGAACTACCATGCCTACCTACTTTTTAGAAACAGAAACAACAGTTACTATATTTTCCCTTTGGACATATTGGAAATACCTTTGCATCTGCCAAGTCAACGTAATATAAAAAGACAGATAAAGGATGGTCAACACCTGTACCATTAAAAACCATAGATTTTAGGCCCCTTTCACATGACCATTCCGATCAGGTCCGACTGTCAGTTTTTCAGTTCCATTCATTCTTATGGACCGGTGGGTGTAAACAGACTTGTGTCCATTTACACCCGCCTACCTCTAATCTGATCCACTAAAAACAAATGGAAGGGGATCTGTCCTCCATTTAGATGCATAGAATCGGATGGCAGCCGGGTGTAAATGGACAGCCAGTCCAATACTGGCAGTACTAGGGTTGTCAGTTCAAATCCCAACCACGGCACCACCTGCCTGGAGTTTGCATGTTCTCCCTTTGCCTGTGTGGGTTTCCTCCAGGTAATCCGGTTTCCTCCCACACGCCAAAGACATGCTGGTAGGTTAATTAGATCCTGTCTAAATTGGCCCTAGTATGCGTATGTATGATTGTAATTTAGGGACCTTAGATTGTACGCCCCTTGAGGGTTAGGGATTGATGTGAATGTACAATCATATATAAAGCGCTGCGTAAATTGATGGTGCTATAGAAGTACCTGAAATAAATATATCTGTGCCAGAGAGTGTGCTGAGCAATTTTTATGATTGCTTTACAGATTTTTGGATAACCTGAGAGCATAAAGCGGCTCTGCTCGAGCCAAATCAATAATTTGCTTTTGTTGGAATTGTCTTTTGACATATTTTGTCTTCACAGGCTATATGATGTCCGGACTCAGGTTGGCACACTGGAGACCAAGGCCATTCAAGCTGCTGCCTCTGCAGAGAGATCCTACCATGAGAGCTCTCAGACTGCTCGGGAGTTAGCACAAGCTTCTCTTGGGCTTCCTACACAGTTCCAGGTAATGACAGGACTTATGTCAAGTGATGGATGAGGCTGGTATTCCTCTGACACTGATAACAACTATTTGTGAATGTTGCTGGAAATATGATATATCCCTGAAACTTGCTTGTACACTGATTGAATGGATTAGCATTCCTGGAAATCTGAAGGACGACCTAGAGCAGCTTCATTGGTCTTCCAGGAATTCACTTCTAGAAAACAGAACCGAGGGGTCCTAAGTGTGCACAGTTTATATATTTTACATATAGACAGCCATATATTCTCACATCAGTTACATATATTGTTTCTGTATAGCATTTTGGCTTTTTTATTTATATATATAGTTAATCATTTTTGTGGCAGCCACTTTAAGGGGCATATTTAAAAAAAAAAAATCAGAGCTATTCATCCTGTGAAATGTACAGTGCATTTGTTCTGTGCGAATGGAGAGAACATTGAATGTTGTCAGGCTATGTGTTTTCCAGGTTATATAGAATAAATCAGAGAATTACCACATTATGATTATTTGATAAAGATAATGATTATAGGAAGTCAATACTTATTTCCTATGATCATCAACTTCATCTAGTGCCCTAATGCAGTACTGTAGTATTTTCTTTATTTGCTCTATGTAGAACATTTGACCTGGAATAAAAACAGCCTAATAACATTCAATTATGCCTCCATTTGCACAAAACTAATGCACATGAAATTGACTGTCTGATCTTTAGGTGTTTGGGTGTGGATTGTTAGTCACTACTGACCCCTAAACTCTGTATCATTTACTACTGATCCCTGAACTCTGCATCACTGATTCCTGACTCCTGAACTCTGCATCACTTATCCTGAACTCTGCATCACTTATTCCTGACTCCTGAACTCTGCATCACTTACTCCTGAACTCTGAATCACTTATTCCTGACCCCTGAACTCTGCATCACTTATTCCTGACCCCTGAACTCTGCATCATTTATTCCTGACCCTGAACTCTGCATCATTTATTCCTGACCCCTGAACTCTGCATCATTTATTCTGACCCCTGAGCTCTGCGTCGCTTACTCCTGATCCCTGAGCTCTGCATCGCTTACTCCTGACCCCTGAACTGTGTGTCCCTTACTACTGACCCTGATTACTGCATCACTTATTCCTGACCCCTGAACTCTGCATCACTTATTCCTGACCCTGAACTCTGCATCACTTATTTCTGACCCCTGAGCTCTGTGTCGTTTACTCCTGACCCCTGAACTCTGCATCACTTATTCCTGACCCCTGAACTCTGCATTACTTATTCCTGACCCCTGAACTCTGTTTTTATATTGTGTTAGTGATACAAAGTTAGCAGTGACACAGATTTCAGGGCATTAGACTAGCTGAACTGAAAATTATTTTGTGACTGTAAAGGATTACATGTAAATGAGCGGCAGTTTAAGCGTTTGCCTTCAGTTCTTCCTAAAAAGTGACAGTTGGCAGGTTCCGCTTATTAGGTTTTTGGAGAAGTCAACTGCATGTTCAAAAATATCATTCTTCACTATTCCAGCTTAAATATAAACGCATTCAGTTCCAGCAACGTCACATGAGAGCGGAACTTATTCTGCATGTAGGGAAGTTATTGCCCCACTGATGCATCTTTTTAATTATCAGGAGGAGATGGAGCGTCTTAGACGAGAATCTTCATCCCTGAAAACTTCAGTAGAAGCAGAGATATCTCAAAGCAAAAATTTACAGAACAAATTCAACGTTTGGGAACAGAGTGCTGAACAGCAACTTTATGAAGGGCAAAAGTACAGACAGGTGAGAACAAATAATACATTATAACCATCCAGTATCTAATTCACTGACAGTCTGGGAATATAAATCAATATTGTTTGTGTGTGAGTTGCAGTCTCTGTGTGTGATAAAATCTCAGCACAATCTCCTTTTAGTTTTACCAACACATTGTAATAGGGGGACACAACTAAACAATCAATTCCGTTTGTATCAAATCAGGTTGGCTCTTGTACTACAGAGTTCATGGTAGATCTAAAGTAGATTGTACAATCAGATTGCATGGTCACCTTAGATAAGCCAAATGGGGCTGTATAATGTACACTGTATATATTATAATAATCTTTAAATATTTTCTTTTTGTTATTTCTTTATTCTGTTTTGAAATATTTTTTTTTGGATGTGTATTATTATTATTATTCTTCAGGATTTATATAGCGCCAACAGTATTATGTAACTAATACCTCTGCTAAATAAAAACAAAAAAAACTTTATATTTCAAAAAACGTTATCGGCAGAGAAAAGCTGTTTCAGATGTAGTAGCTTGCACATTCATGAGTGTGTTAATGCTGTGATGTCATGGTATGATCTATTGTCTTGCAGATGGGGGATCAGCTGTTGTCACGAGCAAATGCTGCAAAGAATAAAGCCAATCAGGCCATGATATCAGGGAACATCACATACTATGAGATCGAGGGGATGCTCAGTAGCCTGAAGGGTGGGTATAGTGTCAACTGTCTGAAAATTGTAGGAAAAATTCTTCAAAATATTTGTTAGACTTATTTAGAGTACTTGCTAGTATAGGGCCGCTTGATAATGCTTGTCCCCAGTGGTTGCCTTGACCTTGCCTCAATACTAGAATATTTCACAAGAATAATGGGTTTAGGATAGACAATCCCAGTTAACACATAAAAATAGAACACCGATAAAATGGGGATAATCAATTAGCAATGTTTAACAAATACAATTATGCGTAGTAAGCTTCAACTATTAGACTACAACAACAGCATTAAGAGGGGGAAGACTTGACTTATGAGCTCCCTCTAGGCCACCGGTGCCGCAATGCCGGATGCAGAGAATTATGTAAATGTATACTCCGACATACAATATATTGCCAAAAGTATTGGGACACCCCCTCCAAATCATTGGATTCAGGTGTTCCAATCACCTCCATGGCCACAGGTGTATAAAATCAAGCACCTAGGCATGCAGACTACTTCTGCAAATATTTATGAGAGAATGGGACTCTCTCAGGAGCTCAGTGAATTCAAGTGTGGTACCGTGATAGGTTGCTACCTGTGCAATAAGTCCATCCGTGAAATTTCCTTACTACTAAATATTCCATGGTCAACTGTTAGTGGTATTATAACAAAGTGGAAGCAACTGGGAACAGCAGCAACTCAGCCATGAATTGGTAGGCCACGTAAAATGACAGAGCAGGGTCAGTGCATGCTGAAGCACACTGTGCAGAAGTCGCCAACTTTCTGCACAGTCAATAGTTAAAGACCGCCAAACTTTGTGTGGCCTTCAGATTAGCACAACAACAGTGCGTAGAGAGCTTCATGGAATGGGTTTCCACGGCCAAGCAGCTGCATCTAAGCCTTACATCACCAAGTGCAATGCAAAGCGTTGGATGCAGTGGTGTAAAGCATGCCACCACTGGACTCTAGAGCAGTGGAGACGTATTCTCTGGAGTGATGAATCATGCTTCCCTGTCTCGGTACTTGCCTGACTGCATTGTGCCAAGTGTAAAATTTCGTGGAGGGGGGATTATGGTGTGGGTTTTTTTTTTTTTGCAGCAGTTGGGCTTGGCTCCTTAGTTCCAGTGAAGGGAACTCTTAAGGCTTCAGCATACCAAGACATTTTGAACAATTTCATACTCAACTTTGTGGGAATAGTTTGGGGATGGCCCCTTCCCGTTCTGACTGCACACCAGTGCACAAATCACAGTCCATAAAGACATGGATGAGCGAGCTTGAGGTGGAGGAACTTGAATGGCCTGCACAGAGTCCTGACCTCAACCTGATAGAACACCTTTGGGATGAATTAGAGAGGAGCCTGCAAGTCAGGCCTTCTCATCCGACATTAGTGCCTTACCTCACAAATGCGCTTTTGGAAGAATGGCCAAACAATTCCATAGACACACTCCTGACCCTTGTGGACAGCCTTCCAAAAAGAGTTGAAGCTGTTATAGCTGCAAAGGGTGAGCCAACTCAGTATTGAACCCTATGGACTAGGACTGGGATGTCATTAAAGTTCATGTGCGTGTAAAGGCAGGCCGACCAATACTTTTGACAATATAGTGTAAGTAGCTATAAGTATCCTAATTTGAATACCAATGTCCTTAGAAGAGAAGAGGTCCCTTTAACTAGAATTTATCATAGCCCATTTTCTATACTGCAAGCTGTTTTTGGCCGAGTTTCCATTCCTAGTGTTCCCTCTATGATTTAGTACATCATTCTGTAAATAGCTGCATGTTGGAACCATATAAAATAATAAGGGATTTCACCTATGGTGAAGGGCTTCCTGAGCTGTAGCTTTGGGGCACCCATGAAACGAAATGCAGGAACAACTTTTTTAACATGCTGATGTTGATGCTTCATATATGTAGGAAGGGACTGTCTGTAGTTCATGTGTTAGTTGTAGGGCTCCACACATTACTACATCTTCCTTAATGTATTTATTTGTTATCTAGGTATAAAGGACATATGGTTGTACATAGTGTGTTTTCATTATGTGCATGTTTGGGTACTGGAGGGGGGCATGTGAGGGTACCCTGGTTTACTTTTTACTTTTTGGGTTTAAAGAAACTTTGTTTCACCTAAAATGTAGGATTTGGAAACCAGGTAGGAGATCGACGCAGAGCAGCAGAAGACGCAATGAAGCTTCTCCCCGAGATCCAGCGACGTGTACTGGGAGCCGCAAGTACCACAGAAAGAGCAAGCACAGCACTCATGGGTGCAGAGAAGGATGCTGATATGGCTGTAGACAATTCTGGAGAAGCTCAGAGTATCACAACTGCAATACAACAGGTAGCTTCCTGCAGTCTGCAATGAGTTAACGCATACAAAACGTGGAACAGCCCAGCTAAAATGATCTCTTTGAGGGTTATTCCTCACAGAACCAGTGTTTAAGATGAGATTTAGGTTCTGGGCTGAATCATCCACCAGCTTTTTATAGCATGTAAGACCTTCACCCTAGAGACCCACCTATGCTAACTCTGCTATGAGTGCCATTGGACATTCTCTTCTGCTATATAGTCCACAATGTAAAGTCTGTAATGGAAGTTTTGGAAATATTGTGATAGCTGAAACTAGAGGGTCTAGGTAAGAGATTGAGTAAAAAAAATATCACCACTGAAGTTTCCCAAATATATATGAAGCAGTATCTACCAAAAATTAAGTATTAATTTTGGCGTGGTGGATTTATGGTTTCCACTCATTGGCCAATTCTGTTTAGATCTGACAGTTGTGATGGAGCTGATCATTCCATTGTGAGCCACTTGCCTTCCCTATTGCAATGTTTACCATTAAAGCACATTTTTTAAAAATGTTCACATTTATACACACATGGTTTTGCATATTTTTGTATAAATTATAGAAATTTAAGGATTAGCCACTAGAGGGAGCTTTCAGTGGCTCAGTGCATTAACTTGCTCTGTATAGCATGGCCATCGTATATCCCTGCAAAGCAGGAAAAGGAGCCTATGCATATAATAAGCAAATATGATTTTCTCCGGTTACATAGGAAATTTCACATTATAACAAGTTTTTAAAACATTAACGTAAGTGTTATGACTGGAACAATTGTTCTCACTGGATGATTTCTCCTCTATTCCTGTGTTGAGGACAACTCAATCTTTTGGATTTTCCACTTACTCCCGTTCCAGTGACTGTGGTCACCAGTACAAAAACAAAGTTTAAATGGCCATAATAAAAAAAAAAACATATACAGCAATAAAAACCTGGCATAGGCTCTAACCCCCTCAACATTTGATCCAAACTGCCAGTACTGCTCTCTCCTTCTCAAAATGAAAATTGTTTAGCTGTCATGTTGATCCAATTGTGTCATTACTTTGTGAGTCACTGACCTGTATCAGTTTTATAGGTTTGCCGTCACAGACCCTTCTGTTCTGTAAGTGTTCCTCTCTATAATAGCTAACTCCTTGCACTGTGCTTCTTAGGACATGCTGCGAATGAGCCAGGATGCAAACAGTTCAGCTCAACTGGCCTTGACACTGGAGAATGAGCTTGCTGCACTGCAGAAAATGGCTAGAAAAACAGCTGGAGAACTGGATGAGAAAAGAAAGAAAGCAGCAGAAGACAATGCAGCTGCAAAGTTGGTAAGAAACATGTCTATATGCAATATAACACCTTAAAGCAATATCGAACTGGGTCACGACCCTCCCAAAAAAAAAATTAAAAAACTATATATATATATTGCAGCTTACCAATCCTATATGTGGCAGCACAGTTTTATTTTGTAAGCCTTTTTTTCCTTTACCTGGTGATTCAACCATTAACATGCTTCCTGTCTTAGGGTCTCTCCAATCTGGATGGAGGGCAATGGGGACACCCTTGGATAGCAGCATTGTCAATAGTGTTAAATGCACTAGCTGGTTTAGATGGAATTGACTAACAAATTAAAGTCAAACTCCTGCCAACATTTGCTAAGCCTTTACAGCAAATGTTTTTCCTTCTGGGATAAATGTTTTTACATAATTAAATAAAAACTGACCATTGTAAGCACCACTATAAGTGTTAGATGGTTTGTCTCAGCCTTCTAACTGACACTTTTGCTGGACAACTTGGTCTGTTAAAGGAAGTTAATTACCAGACTTACTGGCAGTATCACCACGTAAAAATAAAGGGAAAAAAAAGAAAACTAATACAACCACCACATCTAAGAATTAGTAAACTACAATATAAATCATTTTTATTTCAGGGTTTAATATCACATTAAAGAGTTACTTCACTGTCTTTGGGAAAAAAAGCAATGTATATTGCAGGGAATTTTAACAAATTTTGTTGCAGATTCCTACCAATTATTGCTCTGAGGAAAAATCTGTTTGTTTGACCATGTTTCATTTAGACTGACTGAGAATTCACCAGCTGATTATAGTAAAACAGTCACTCTCATTCAGAGTGTGTTCTAATGTGGAAAGCTTTAGTGTCTGCATCTCTTTAGAAGTATTTAACCCAATTTGACACATTCTCAAAACAATACAGCCCTGGCCAAAAGTTTTGAGAATGACACAAATATTCATTTTCACAAAGTCTTCTACTTCAGTGTTTTTAGATCTTTTTGTCAGATGTCACTATGGTATACTGAAGTAGAATTACAAGAATTTTATAAGTATCAAAGGCTTTTAATGACAATTACATTAAGTTTATGCAAATGGTTGATATTTGCAGTGTTGACCCTTCTTTTTCAAGACCTCTGCAATTCACCCTGGCATGCTCTCAATCAACTTCTGGGCCACATCCTGACTGATGGCAGCCCATTCTTGAATAATCAATGCTTGAAGTTTGTCAGAATTTGGGTTTTTTTTTTTGTTCACTCGTCTCTTGAGAATTGACCACAAGTTCTCAATGGGATTAAGGTCTGGGGAGTTTCCTGCCGTGGACCCAAAATTTTGATGTTTTGTTCCCCGAGCCACTTAGTTATCACTTTTGCCTTATGGCAAGGAGCCATCATGCTAGAAAAGACATTGTTCATCACCAAATTGTTCTTGGGTGTTTGAGAGAAGTTGCTCTTGGAGGATGTTTTTGTACCATTCTTTATTCATGACTGTGTTCTTAAGCAAAATTGTGAATGAACCCACTCCCTTGGCTGAGAAGCAACCCCACACATGAATGGCCTTAGGATGCTTTACTGTTGACATGACACAGGACTGATGGTAGTGCTCACCTTTTCTTCTCCGGACAAGGTTTTTTTTTCAGATGCCCCAAACAATCGGAAGGGGAATTCATCAGAGAAAATAACTTTACCCCAGTCCATAACAGTCCAATCCCTGTAGTTTATGCAAAATATCAGTCTGTCCCTGATGTTTGTCATGGAGAAAAGTGGCTTCTTTGCTGCCCTTCTTGACAGCAGGCCATCCTCCAAAAGTTTTCGCCTCACTGTGCGTGCAGATGCACTCACTCACACCTGCTTGCTGCCATTCCTGAGCAAGCTCTGCACTGGTGGTGCCCCAATCCCACAGTTGAATCAATTTTAGGAGACAGTCCTGGCACTTGATGGACTTTCTTGGGCGCCATGAAGCCTTCTTCACAAGAGTTGAACCTCTCTCCTTGAAGTTCTTGATGATCCGATAAATGGTTGATTTAGGTGCAATCTTAGCAGCAACATCCTTGCCTGTGAATCTCTTTTTGTGCAAAGCAATGATGACTGCATGTGTTTCCTTGCAGGTAAATGAATATTTGTGTCATTCTCAAAACGTTTGGCTAGGGTTGTAGATCAGATGTGTTTAAAAGACCTGGTTTTACTGGCATCAGTTTCCGTTCACAGATGGTGGTTAAAGGCTTTCTAGCAGGGCAGGAGTCATTTACTGACTCTACTTCTACTTATAGATAGTTCTGCCCCAGTGGACTCACTCTTGCTCATTCCCTCCTTCCTCAAGTGTCCGCAATATCCCATTTTCCCAAGTTGTTCTTTCCCTTTTGTTACCCCTTCCCCCTTTTTCTCCTTCTTTCATAGTCCCTGAGTACTGGTCCAATAGATCGTTACCACCGTCCATTACATCTCCTCTCTTTTCTCACCAATAGAGAGACTATTTAATCAACTTGGTGATGGCTCCTAGACCCCCTCCCACATCACTCCACTAAATGCGACATCCTCATATTCTTACCTTCCTTATCTTCACCCTTTTGTTTTATTCATAATTGTAAACCCACACAATACAGTTGATGAGATTTTCAGCTCTTAGGCCTTAGTCGACTTTCGAATGTCTATTCCTGTACAAAGAATGGCTTATAGCAGGTGATTTTTCTTTAATGAGATATGAAATGTATCATTCATGTTCGTTAGTCACTGTGGGGTTTATTTACTAAAGCTGGAGAGTGCAAAATCAGGCTCACTTCTGCATAGAAACCAATCAGCTTCCAGGTTTTATTGCCAAAGTTTAACTGAACAATGTGAATTTGTTTAAAAAAAAAACAAAAAAAAAGTATTTAACTCTTGGAGAGTATCTCACCAAAACTGCAATTCCTGTTGCAGGGATGCCTAAAATTTCACTTGTATCTTAGTGAAGATTTCTGAGAAAATCATTGAGCCTATCACAAGCAGTAGATTATATTTCTGAGAGTATTCTGTACCAACAGTGTACAGAACATCTCCAAGTTGCCATTTTGAATTGAATTTTACAATTACAGTGGCTGCAGACTGAAAAGGAAAGGTAATTTTTAATGAAATTAAAAGGGTTAATTCACCTTTTCAGAAAATATGAAAAGTGGAACACCATCCATCCTCCCCACCAGTCTCTCAGTGGTGTATTTAGGTTTTCTACTGCCCTAGGCAACACACAAATCGGCCCCCGCAAGGAGAGACCCTGACACTGACCAACACCCCCCTCCCCCACGAAGAGTGCCTGACATTGACCAACAACACCCCAGCCCCCCCACGAGAGAGAGCCTTCCACTACCACTTCCCCTCATACACTGGTAACCCCCCCACCCCAGTGAGAGAGAAGATACTCACCTTTACAGCTCCAGACATCCCCGGGAACAAGAGTCAGGCTCCGCATACACCATCAAGCAACCCACAGCCTCTATCAGATCCCACCTGGTCTCCATGCTGCTTGTGTTCCTTCTTCTATCCCTTTAAGGGGGCAGTACTGCCCCCCTGAAGAATGCTGCTGCCCCCCTGAAAGATGCCACCCTAGGCAAATGCCTTGTTTGCCTTGTGGTAAATACGCCCCTGCAGTCTCAGCTGTACTTACCGTGGGTGATGAGCTATCAGTGCCCTCGCAGCTGATCCAGTGTTCCAGGGATTTCAAATCCCCAGACTGCTACACTGGCTGTGTGGGCACTGACAACTCATCACTCATGGAGGTAAGTACAGTGGGGGTGGGAAGGATGGGCGGTGTGAGTTCACCTTTTTATTTAATCTAAAAAGGTAAATTTGCATTATAAATGACTACATGGCCTGTACATCAGTTATATAAGCTATATTTTTTATTTGCTATTTTCTTCTCATGAAAGTGAACTTTCCCTTTAGGTAAACTATGCACAACCAGCTTTGGCTGTATCTCTGACCAGCGTATCCTAGACTTTGTGTGCCGACTGTGTCACATACTGTCTGTTGCTTGCAGCTTCTGGAATGCATTCATTGTACAACCAGTGTGTACAAAACAGAGCAACCAATCAGATCTCAGTTTATGGTAGCAAGACCAGTTAAGAGATCATTTCTGAAATATACCCGGTTGCATTATGATTACTCAATGCATGCCTTGACTTGTGCATCAGCCCAACAATGTTCATGTGTATTACAGAAGACTTCTAAAATGCTCCTTCTTTATTCTGTACTTGACATGCCTGCTTTCTGCCTTCAGATTGTTGATAGTGCAGCAGAAGCTGAAGCTCATGCCGGTGGTTCCCTTACTGCTGTCACAGCGACACTGAACGCCCTTGATCGTGTACTCAGCTTATTAGGTAAGCAGCTGGCATAATCGATTCACACAGGGTGCTAGTTCCTGTAGCATAATGAACTGATTGAATTACAGACCTATTAGGTGTTCAACACAGGCAGCATCTTTTCATCCATTACCACCATAAGTGACACCAGTTATAGATCGCAAATGTAAGCTTAGCCGAGGTTACATGGATGGACCATGCCTCCAGCTGTGGCTTATGGCTGTGTGTTTAATGGCCACATCACTCTGGTATATTATCTCAAGTTCTGTCATCTTCCTACATATATACATATTTTGGTGCACATATGAAATACATAGATAGTTCCTGAAACACTACAGATATTACACATATATTCTATGTCACAGCACAGAGAGATTTCAGGCATGCTTGCAATAAAAGAAAAACATACACAGGGAGAATATTTCCTGTCTAAATGTAAAGATTTGCTGAAGACAGAAATATTTATATTCCTATTTCCAAAAAATGTTGGAATTATCCTATAGTACTATACAGTATATCCAGATCTGGAAATTCTTCTAAGCACCCTAACATCTATGTTAATCCTAACTTTGAAAGATGTTAAAGCGGAGTTCCACTCACACTGTAAAAAAATAAAAGTCAGAAGCTACAAAAACTGTAGCTGCTTACTTTTAAAAAACAGCCACTCACCTGTCCCACGATCCGCTCCCCAAAGGTGCCAATCCTTAATGGGGAGCGGGGGACCAATCTTTAAAGCTGAACTTCCCCTTTTGGGTGGAACTCCGCTTTAAAGTGGTTGTAAACCCCCTTACACCCAGTGAAGTGACTGGCCTCAAGTGATACACAAAGATGAAACAAATCCTTCTATATAGGTTGTACCTGTTTATCTGTAGTCACTTGTCATGTACATCCTTGTAAAACTCAAAGATGAAAAGGATTTTTCACAGACTCAATAAGCAGGGGGTAGAGAGCCCCAGTTACACACTGTACAAGAGCCCTGAGAGCTGATTGGAAGGAGGGGACACACACCCTTCACACAGCACACAGGAACAGAGCTGCGGCTGTCAATCACATTTTATCTGCTGGAGGTCCCTCCTCGTCAGCTTTTTAGCTCCTGGTGTCAGGAAAACTTGTCCGAAGTGACTCATGCAGATAGCAGAGGAACTAGACAGCAGACAGAAACAACAGGAGCAGGGGCGGACTGACCATTTGGAAGCTCGAGCACTGCCCAAGGGCCCAGGGTCAGTAGGGGGGCCCATGAAATGCCCCTGAAACCTTTTTAATAGGCTTTTTTGAGTTTGGGCAAGGACACAGGGGCCCCATGATCCCCTATTGCGCGGGGGCCCCATGAGTTGTCAGTCCGCCCCTGAACAGGAGAAAAGCAAGTTAACACTACAGAAATATGTGTTTTGTTTAGTTTTCATGTGTGAAGTTTACAGCCACTTCAAGCGCCCTGTTTACAGCCTGAACCTTTCTTTTAAATGATGGGAAACCCTCTCTTAGCTTCAACTGGATCAGGTGTCTTCATTGGAAGTTTCCCTATTGTACCGGTGACTACTGTATATTTTTTTCAATACTTTTTGTCTTGCAGACCCCATTGTTGCGCTATTTCCAGTGCGACTATGTAGTGTGACTTGCTTGCAACTTTCATGTGACATTGGAGTCTATGGGACTCAAGTCACATTGAAGCTGCATCAAAGTAGTGCAGGAACCTTTTTAAAAGTCACTGTGACTTGAGTTGCATTAATTGGAATGGTTGCCATTGAAATGAATGTGTTTTTGATTGTTTGTGCGACTCTGAGTCACAAGTCACATGCCAAGACGCCCCAGTAAATACCAATTATCTAGCTTTCTTTTAGGAAACAGAGACATTGGTGGGCTAGGTTCTGCTTTACCCCTTACACTGCTATAAAACATAACTGCACTAGCCACCATCCTTTATCTTTTTTATTCACTTTGTGCCTTTTACTAGCAAATGTTAGAATGCTTCAGATATATGAATGGTTACTGTGTTCTATGCAGACCAACCTGTCGAAGGAAATGAAGAAGCGCTACAAGCTCTAGAGAGCAGCATGGAAACGGCTCGCAAACAGGTCACTCAGCGCCTTAGGCCGGCTTTACAAGAGCTGGAGAGTTGTCATTTAAACTTCAAAAACAGAGGATTCTCAGTCTGGATAAAGAGATCCAGCAAACAATGATTGACATCCAAAACCTGAGGGATATCAAGAACAGCCTTCCACCAGGGTGCTACAACACAGCTCCTATTGAAAGACCGTAAAACCAAAAACGGACAGAAGAGAAGCTGCAAAGCCGATAATTGTTCACATTCACTTATGCCATGTGTAAGATCTTCATGATGTATGTGAAAAAAGACCTTATTTTGGACATTCTTGTGAACGGACTCTTGGCTGATGGGTGCTGAAAAGAACCATGAAATGTGTATTAGAAACTGTGCCATATTTTGTCTTTGTACCTTTTTGTATTTATTTATTAATAAATATATCATTGAACATTACCACTTTATTTTCTGGTGACATCATGCCTGACACAGCCATTTTCTAGCAAAGCAAAATCTTTATTGGTAAAACAGCAACAACAGAATGAACAAAACCCAATACACTAGTCTAGGAATGGTTTATTCAACCCCTCCTAATCAGCAAAGACCCAGCACTATATTATGTTAACAGTGTTACATGTTTGATGTAATCTCATCTCTTAACACTAGGTGTTTTTTTTTTCCATCATATCTCACGGATGTATCTCTATACTGCGCTAAGAAACCGCCAGTCCTAAGGTTGTCTTCTGTATGTAGGTTAGAAATATTCCATTATATAGAATGGTGTTAACAATAGTTATTAATGGGGTTTCAGAGCAGTCAGGTCAATTATTTATTTAGTGAACTTTGCCAATATAGGATGCTTAATTTAAACATTTCAAACTGAATATATGTTATAAATGCATTAAATGGAGACAGGAACCTGCCCATTCAGGGGAAAATAACAGTGGCTCCTGATAGCCCCACAACAAGGTATGCTCATCAGTCCTCAGTACCTCCATGCCTCCCTGCTGCAGGAATCCATCGAGTAAACTGCAATGTCAGAGAGTACCCGGGTGGATGACATAACTGACCGCCCTGTGACAGTGTTCAGGGCTGGTGATTGGCCACTTAGACACATGGAGTGAAGACAAAGGAGCAAGGATGATTGAATATACTTTCCTGTGGTTGGGCTAGCAGAAGACATTGAATTGGCAAACTGATAATGTCTCTTAATCTCCTCTTACCTTTGGTGAAACCCAGTGTCCAAACAATTATTAAATTTACAGATGCAGGCAACTAAATTCATATGCAAACAGCATTTTTTTAATACAACAGGCAGAGGAGAGGGGTGGGGCCAAGATTAGCTTTTACAAGAAAAAGTCAAGATTTGCATATAATTTTAGCTGCCTATGTTTCATTATCAGCTTGAATTGCCCGAATTTATCTCAGGTTTACTGAAAACTGTTGCTTACTCTTAGAGCAATGAATACTGTTCACAATAATGCTGACTATCATTATGACTGGGATTGTTATATTAATATGGGAAAAAGGGCACTTTTATGCCTGTTTGATATTATTAGCTCCTAGAAAATGGAGATCTGGCACAATGTCTATATAGGATATCAACCCAGAAAAATCTTTGATAACATAATCTGTATTTGATCGATTTTTTTTTTTGTGTCTTCTGCCCACCATATGATCTATAGGACATGAAAAAATAGACATTCTTGCTATTGAGATAACTAGATTTTTTTTTTTTCATATTAGCAATGTGGTTTGTTTTTTTCTTAAAAAGCTACATCTCTACAAAGTGGTTGGATGAAAGCTTAAACTGGTGCAATACTACTTGTCTTCGCAGCTGCATAGGTCACTGGGGGGGTTTATCAAACAAATGCCACAATGTCCTTCCAGCTCTGAATATTGCTTTTTTTTCTGTAGCACAACCTTTACTTGATGTACGGACTGGTGAACGTGAAATTGAATACAATAAATCCTTTGCTTTAAGAATGTTACATGCTGTACAGAAAGCCAAGGTAGCATGTTATAATGGACAAGATTGATGGCAGCATGGTTATCAAAAAGCAAGCTTAATACAAAAGTTCATTCTTGCATTTTAGGCCAGATATTATGGAATCAGCTTAGTTTCTGTGGTTCTCTGCATTGAACATTAAAGAAGAAGTAGGGCCAAAGTTTCTTTGGCCCTACTACTCCTGTAGGTTACAGGAGTGCACTTCTTTCTGCACTGACAGTCACCGGCTCTTTGCTCACTGAAGACCAAGAACTGAGTGATCAGTGGTCTTTGATTGCTTAGTTCTCGGTGTAGAGGCAGCAGGGGACAGAGGCAACACCGGAACACCTAGGTGAGCATGTGTTTTTTTGTAAATTCTGCACTTCTCTTAACACTAACAGTCAAAAAGGGATACACAGGCAGGCTTAAAGGAAACCTGTCATGAGAGAAAAATGGAGGTTGCTATTGCTGACTTTTTGAAAATGCTAGTTGCTTTGTTCTTGAGTTTTTCTTCAAAAGATGGCGTTAATGGCTGAAGCAAGCATACAGATAGTAGTTCCTGACTTTTCAATTGCAAACTTGTACCAGGTGAGTGTTTCAAAAAATGCTGAAGCTGAAGAGTCAGCATTACAGCTAGGAAACAAACATTTTCAGAAGCAGGTCAACATTGACAACCGATAATGAAAAATAAGGGGTAGAGCTTCATATAAATATTTACTGTATCACCCAATAAATGGCTTCCGTCCAGTAGCCAAAAGATATGCATACAAAAAAAGAAAGTTGTGAAAAGAGATTCACAGGAAAGCGGCTACATTTTGGACATAAATACGATACTCAGAATAATTTCCAAAAATTATGCTTTATTAAATGTTAATAGTAGACAATAGGGTAATTACCCCGGTTCACCATCACCTCAGTATGAGAATACTCTCAGACCTAAAACCACATCAAGACCGGTCTAGATATGGATGTGCTGCATAGACAATGACAAATACCTGTCTAATGCATTGCATTGCCTCATATGGGCTAAGGGTTATGTCTCTTCTATATGGTGACTATATTAGCCATTTTGCAAAGCGTGTTATAATAATACCTACCTATGGTACAATTTTTTGATATACCTCCTACTGGTAGTGTAACCAATGTGATAGTGCTGCTAATGCATTAGACAGTGTATTTGTCATTGTCTATGTAGCACATCCATATCTAGACCGGTCTTGATGTGGTTTTAGGTCTGAGAGTATTGTCTCATACTGAGGTGATGGTGAACCGGGGTAATTACCCTATTGTCTACTATTAATGTTTAATAAAGCATAATTTTTGGAAATTATTCTGAGTATCGTATTCTGTCCAAAATGTAGCCGCTTTCCTGTGAATCTCTTTTCACAACATTGACAACCCCCTATTTCTTTTATAACAGGTTAACTTAAATGGTAGGGGTGAATTTAGCCCATTGCTGGCAATCAGCTACTTAGTTGCATATTAAACTGCTTCAAATGAAGTGACTACCAGTGGGTGGTCTTAGGGCCACAGCATGACATTAATGTCATCTATGTACCTTAAACCCTAATTGTTGCCATGCACCCCCTGTTTTATCTACAGCAAGATTAGGATGGAAAACTGCATCTAGTCAATGCTAGTGGTTTTATACAACCCAGAACATAATTTAATTTGAAAAAACATAATAGTATTTGAATTTTTGTGGCATCTAACATCCATGCTCAGCATTCGCCCTTTGTTAACTTATAGCATGCTACGTGCAGTGTAGCACAACTGGCCTTAACGTAACCCTGTCATTTCTCAAAAACAATCCATTAGGCTGTACATTGTAATACAGGATGTTGAATAAGTTACTCTCTATTAAAAAGAAGTTAAATCTTTGTCCTCTTTCAGAGCTAGTAGCACCACTGTTATGTTGAATAGCATGTCCCCCTCTGAGCGCTGTGGTTCCTTCTGCCAGTTATGTACTGATGTAGTGGCAGATGGGAAGAATTATGGTGCCCAGGGGGATATGCTATCCGGCATACCTTACAGGGTGCTGCTAAACATTTATCCAACTACAGTAATCATTTCAAAACATTTTTCTTTCCCAAGAGAGATAAGGAAGGAGGCTGCTATTGCTGATTTCCTTCTGAAAATGATAACTGTGCAATGCTCACCCACTGGGTACAGTAGTTTCTGAGGCCACTTACCCAGAACAGTTGTGCAGATGTAGAATGTCAGACTAAAGCCAGAAGTCCTTATCTGCTATGTGCCAGTGATTTAAAGTATTAAAGCAACAGACAACCAGCACTTGCAGAAAGACAATTGCAGCCTCCAAGTTTAAGTTCAAGCTCCTTTAAAAAAATATACAACCTCCTTTTACCTCCAGTAACATACAAAAATACTAGACTCAAGCATCATCTAATCATGTGACAAAGACCTAAACTGTCTGGATTGAACACAGTGTTGGACTAGTGTAGTGCAATGGAGGACTGAACCCACTCTACATAAAACATATTAATAAATATTATAAATACACCTTTAGTACTAGTTTATTGGTACTTGAGGCTACAACTGATTTTTATAACAGTGCTTGCATGGTTTTCAGCTTAGGAAATTTGGTACAATGGCAACATCAACTTCAGCTAAAACCACAGCAATAACTACTAAGATTGTATTGTAGATGCTTTACAAAATTAAAAAAAGGCTGCGAAAACATACTTCAATAAAGAAAATGTCTGGCCAAAACTACTAATGCTCCAAGAGTAATCACCTCTCCATACCTAATGCTCTAACCTGTCACAATCTGGCATCAGGCAAGAGTGAGCGCGGGTGCAGAGAGGGCATAAAATGAGGTCCTGGACCTATGCAGATGTTACAAAGCTAATTTTACACGTAACTTGGTCCTAAAGCCATCTGTACAAAGCATGATTTTCACTAGACAATGCATCAAATTTAACAGGTGTGTAATAGGTGCTCCAATATTAAATAACCAATTTGGTTGAAAGCAGTAGGATAATATACATATTAGACACCTACATCATTTTAGATACTTATAACTGAACACTGGTTATTCCTGCTACCATTAAAGAAAACAAGGAAATTATATGTGGCCATCGCCTGCTGCTGCTTAATAAATGTATAACTAAGCAGATTCATCTGTTGGGGTGTTTTCTTTTCACCGTACCATACTTCTTGCAGGTCAGTGTCACCACTACACAGATACTCACTGTCTCTACCTCATTACATATCTGATGGTAACATTGACCAATTAAACATAAACTGTGTTTGGTCAGTGTTTGCCTCCTCCCAAAATATTTTATTATTAACTAATAAATAGCTTGAGCGGAAACGAAGGGGCCATATGTTGCCCCCATTACTGAGCCTCATACTGACCTGTCTGGATTCAATAAGTATACAGATATAAGTGACCACCTAGCATCATCTAACTACTTTAATAACTTTTTGATCGAGAAAATATATTGTTCATGTGTTTAACTAAGAAGGAGTTATTCTTAAAAAGCTACACCCTTTTAAGTAGTCCCTGTAAGACTGTGGATAGTCACATGCCTTTTCCTCCTGGATAGAAGCATAATAAAGAGCATGATAATGCCATGGAGATAAAAAGCACAGCAAGGCATGCTAACTGTGTGCACAATGCTTATGTAAGTGATGCAGATATGTTTCCTAGTTCCTGATAACCACTACCCTTTAAAATTGAGACAGAGAGAAGACAGGGATGAGGTCTTTATCCCAGCTGAAAAAGAGATACTGTGAATTGCTAAATATTAATACATGATTTATAAATAACACCCTCATCCAAAAAACTAACTAGTAGTGGGGAATGAATAAATACCAATTTAGTGTAGAAGGATGTGCAAGGCACCCAATGGGTTAACTGATATCCCAAAAACTCCCCCCCCCCCTTCCCACGAAGAGTAGGTATACAACGGCTTTAATGTTTAAGCACGCCAGAAAACAACACTATCTCAAGCACTCTTTTCACTAGTACAGAGAGTGCTCTCTCACCTTGGGCTTTGAATTTAGAATGTCTTAATGTATACCTGTCACTCATATTCATTGATGGAAGCCATTCTGTAAACTGAACCAATATTTAGTGTATCAGATCACCAGGAACCAAGGAAATCAATGTAGCACTTCATACGTTTTGTCATAGTAATGTCACAAGTTACTAGTGGACCGTGTAGCTGCATTCTTTGAATTGTTGGTCCCTGTAACAGATGGCTGCCTCCATATTAAAAAGGTGACAAGTACCCTTTAAGAGAATGAGTAAGGCAGAGAGGTGAGTAGGGCTGCAATGAGTGGGGTAACAGAGATATCATGATCTGTGAGGAGATTGTGGTGAGTAGTGAGTAATAACACATTTTTATTGTGATGATGAAGGTAGCAGATAGCTACACCCCATGCTGGAACTCGCAAAGTCAACCGGATGTATTGATATAAAGCTGACTTTTCAGGACATAGTCAATTACAGGTTGTGTTAGGTAATCCACCACATGTCCATCTCCATGCTGCAAGGCCAGTCTGAGGAAAAACAAAGATCCCATCAGCTCATTTCATTTGAATTCACATTAAAAAATAAAAAAAACTTAACAGAAGCATAATATACAGTACATATAGTAAGTGTATTGTTTACAATGTCCTCTTACTAAAAAGTCCACACCACTGTTAGGACATAACATATACACTTCTAAATCCATCAGTAAACCAGTGCTGTCCCAGGGACAAATACAGGGACTGTCACTGCCTACTTGCTTTTGAAGGTGCAGATTCCAGGGTGACTAACATTTTCCATGCATCACTTTGATGGGTCACTGATCCAGAACAAGCATGCAGCTAGTAAAGTGATTAAGATGACAGCTTCTGAACATACACTTTCAAAATCAGCTGTCACTGCCCATATTTCAAACTGGCAAATTCCTTTCAAGCTGCAGAGAGGTGTAGATGGAAGACTGTTCTATTTTGCACCATTTATTAATTGCATTTATAGAATAAAAATAATTGTATAAAAAATATTTGCAATAATTAAAATCGTTAACAGAGAGTGAGAATGGGCTTTCCAGGGAAATTTGAGCTTCTTAGGGTACTTGTAAGGAATATAACACCACCACCACCCATTCTTGCTAACTCCAAAGTCCTAAATCACCCTCAGTTTAGTGATGATGGAGAAGAACACTACATATACTCCACTGATTTATTGTCTAAGACAGGGGTCTCCAAACTTTCTATGCAAAGGGCCAGTTCCCGGTCCTTCAGGCTTTAGGGGGGCCACACTGTGGCTGGTAGAAGTAGAAACTGCCCTGCCGTCTATGGGAGTAAGCAATACCCCATAATTAATTTTAATGGATGGCATAATGCACCATTTTAGTGTCAGTGCCAGGAATATTGCCCCATTGTTGGTGTCTTTGGTGGGAATGGTGCCTCAACTTTGGTTTCAGTGGGGAGAATAGTGTTCCAAGGACCGGATAAAGGCAAGCAAGGGGCCACATTCAGCCCCTGGGCTGCAGTTTGGAGACCACTGGTCTAGGAGAATACCAGGGTCAAAGTGTAGACCTAGAGCTGAATCAAGAATGCTTGTGCAATATATTCCAAGCTACAGAAAAACAGATACATAAATGATCAAAATACAGTACTGCCCATTACCTGCTTTTAGTGGAGCTCACATGGGACATAGGATGGTTGGTATCATCTTTAATCACAATGATGTTGTTCTGAAAGAAAAGAGAATCCTAGGTTAACACACACACACAGTTTGTACATTTAACTATGATATACAGCAACTAAACTTTTACTTCAACTGAAACATTGTCAAGACCAGATTAATATCCGGCAATTATATTCTTTGTCAGATGGGTTTATGTTTTTAGGTGGTTACAGGAGTTGATGAGGAATACTGTGTAATATCATTAGGAATTTTCTGAGCATAACCCCAGAAAGGCATTGTTAATTTGCATGAACTCCTGTTTTCCAGTGCAGTGTCTAATAATAAATTCATTTGTGAACTCACTGCTATGTAACAGTTCATTGCTGCCTGAAGGCTCAGTCTGGTTATAAATGAGTGTCTCACCTCAGTTACCTGATAAAGTAAGAACGCACCTTGTATTTACGGAGCCAGAGATGAGTGATTCATGATTTGCTCAGTGTCTGTTCCATCACGTGGCACAACCACAATGCCAAAGTCACCCACGATCACTTCCATCTGCAGGAAGAAAACCAGACTGCCATGAGGAACACATAGGGTGAAGCAGACACTTGACTTAACTTAGGATGCCAGTCACACCAGGGAGAAGAATGATAATAGAAGGGAACCCTGACAACAAAAGGAACAATACTCACATCGGACTCATTCCAGAGGCCAGGGATACAAAATGACTCAAGCAGGTCACTACCACACAGGAGCAAGATCCGTAGCTCTGGGTAGGAAGGACAGTAAGTGTGTGAGCATGAGGACAAATCAAAGTAGAATATTAGAGATAGTGTGTTACCACAACACTGCCTCCTGATGGCGCTTACCTATTTCTTCATATCTCATCACCGTGCCCAAATTAGCATTCTCATCTGCAATAAATCAATCAATCAACCAATCAATCAACCATACAGTTTGGAAAATTACATAACCACAACTCTTTTATAACTGTGCAGTAGCATCTGGGATCCTACAAGTGTAGGAATATATTCTGAATGTGTTTGCAGACTGTGTCAAATATAGTTTAATAAAATGTTACGCAGGTTCACTTTTCAAGGGTTAGGACTTTAATCAAGGCTGCTCACATAGAAGGTATACCCCATCAGGTGGACAACCTTGGTGACTAGTAAGTCAACCACAGGACTGGTTCACTACCACCCCTACGACCATAATGACATTTACACATTAGTAGCTTATTCCTCTGGCAGTGCCTTTCAGGTTGCCTAACACAAACCCTGAAGAAGAGGCCATTTTATCCTTCTAAAAGAGTTGGAAATTTTTAATGGATATTTGAGCAAATAAAAAGACACATTTAGAATAGTTTATCTTTAGACCTTTATCTTTGGGTGCTCCTACATTTTCTGAGACCAAAGCCAACCGAAGATATAAGCTGGCCCAAGAAAAAAAAAAGATGACTCTCCATCAGCTTTGTAAAACCAAATGTATTTTCTACATTTCAAACAAATTTCACTTTCTTAGGATGACTAATATTTTTTAAAGAAATATGAGCAATACATTTAGGATGAGGCAACACTTATTTAGAGTTTAAAGGGAACATATGCACTTTCAGTTAATACATATTTTGAGGTAATATTGCAGTGCTTTTAGCTGTAATTTTGATATGACTTTCACACTTTTGTTTACTGCATTAAATGTATCAATTAACCACTAGAAAGAGCAAATGCTCAATTTGCAATCTGTCTCTCTTCCTTCTTAAAAAGAAATATGGCCAGAAGTTGAAAAACCATTGTTGAATCCTCAAGAGGATCCAGTGCACATAGCGTTTGGTCCCATTCAGTTCTGTGGAGTGATTCTGAAATATAATTACATTTCTTTTTCATCTGTGCTCACTGTAGTCCCACTTTAGGCTGAAGCACAATTTATCAGCATTCCGAAGGGGGAGTTACACCCAGCACTGAAACAACCTCCCCCTACCTTATTTGTACTTTACATACTTCATGTTACTAAAAGGAAGAAATTATCCAGCTCCAGCCATCAGCCATTCAGGAGAGAGGGACCACAGTAGTTGCTGTTGATTTGTGTTGTTGTGAATTAAAATACACAAACCAGCTACTACTATAGACTCTCTAAGATAAATGAGCCCAGACCTGCTTGCCAGCTATTCAGGGGAGAGAGACTAAAGTAGTAGATAGCTTGTGTTGTTGTGAGCTTGTGTTTTAGTGAATGACGGTGCTTGTCTCCAGTATATTGTCATTCAAGTCGACAGGGACTACTGTGGTCTCTCTCCCCTGAATATTTGATGGTTGCCAGGCAGGTCTTTGGTCAGTCTTTCAGTACAAGGAAGATGACAGAGGAGGCACAGGGTTGCAAATTTAGATGGAGGGCTACAGATGTTCCTGGCAGGTATGGGTTTTTGGCTCTGTGCCCACCGTTAGATTTCCCTTGTCCATTCTGTGGGCTGAATGAAAGAAGAAGATCAACAAAGAAATTTAGTGCAAATTAACAAAAGCGTCCATCCATGCTAAAAAAAAACATGGATGGAGGAATTTCCCCTACCATCTATTGTATTCAAACAGCTGCAACACCCCTGGCTGCCTGAATACCCCACCAGTAACTGCATCTAAGAGGATACAGTCACTGTTTGGCCAACTTTCCATCCATCAATTTTTAAATGGACTTTTGTTGAACTTGGTGGTGCTGACAGGACTATCAATAGCTTGGATTTCAGATGGTGCAGTAGGAATAGTCTGAAATGTGAGTTGAGAATGTCCAGATGTACACCTAAAACATAATTTAGTCATTGTACTGTGATGTTATTTGCACAAGGACAGTCAAAGTACATCTGTCATAAAAAATATGGAGGTGGCCACTGCCCACCTCTTTCTTAAAATGCTAATTGCCTGGCTGTGTTTGGAAACAAGTGTGCAATAATTGAAAGATGAAGTCAAAAGTCATTACTCTTTATCTGTACTGTAGTCCCATATCAGTTATGTAGAAAATCAACAGTCATCTCCATATTCCTTTATTGGTAGCTTAACTCTATGGACACATTGATGATATACTCTGAAAAAATAATATTCTGTTTCAGACAAAGTATATTTGCTTTCTAGAACTCCAAGGTGCTGAGATCGGAGCTCCTTCATAGCCTCTCAACAAGCTATCCATTACTTGTATTTTGAAAAGTATTTTGGTTGGCCTGGAGTAAATACCCCTTTAATCCATTTTTGAGCATCATTTACATTTGTACATTATGCAAGGAAAGGTTGACATTTATTACTGATGTTCTCAGGGACCTATCTGCTCATTTAAGTCTACAGCAAGAATTATTCCAAAATAAACAATTCTTTGTAGTACAGTTATCTACTGGCACATTTTAGTTACAAATGTGCATCTGTAACAACAGTGAACTCCATAGGCCATATTCACATACTACAACATGGATATGAAGTTAGGTATTTTAAAAACAAATACATTTATTGTACACCAAGTAATACTGTGTGTAACAGAACTGACCCAGTCTGTGCTTGGGTACTTCCGTTATAATACCGCTTCCCCGTCCGAACACTGACCACAGACACATCAGCCGACCAAACAAGACTAGACAACACCAGTCTGTCTGAACATGGAACTCTTTATTTGAAACTCGAACTGGCTTTATACACTCAGGGGGCACTCCCCCCTCCCTGCATAATGACACAGGGAGGGGCAATCTATACTTCGCAACAAGAGACACACAGGTATTCAAACTTCACACTAGCAGACAGTCCCATCAGGAGGGAGGGCTGCTGGAGACACCCCCCACTAAGCTAATACACATAAACACATACATTCCATAATAGTTTACTCCCAAGCAAGACAAATAGAACAATGGGATGCAACCACATGACATTAAACAATCAACAACCCTCCAACCCAATATTAGGACAGATCACCCTGTACCTCTAACAGGCACAGGGTGACTTACACATAATAGGGATATGGGGAGCTGAGACAGGGGTCTCCCCACCTCTCCAAAGTGAGTTGTGTTCCATGGGCACCCCACCCAAAGTGACTCCCGTCACACTGTGTTAAAGTGACTCTAAGAACTGGTTCACGCAGAACATGGTGCAGGAAAGCCACATTCCTTGTGCATTTCCCACACCAAATTCAAAATGCACTAGGTGTGTGATCTACTGTGGCTGTCAATATATTCCTAAAGACATCCCAAAGGCAGATTGCAAGCGCGTTTGCCTGCACCAGATCGCATGGTACTACAGTACCATGCGATTTGGTGCAGTGTGTTTTTGAAAAATAGTACATGCAGTTTTGTGCGATCCAGTGTGATTTCAGCCCAATCAAATTAATGGGTTGAAAATCGCAGTGCACTGAGTCACACAGGATTTCACAGAAATGCAGACCATGTTCCTGTGAGATTCAGGTGTGAATCAGTCCTATACCATATCCTTATATTCGAAAAGAAATCCAAACACATCTACTACTTAAGGGACCCATAATTTATTTTTTTATAGTAAATCATTTCTTATGGTGTTTTTTTTGCCTCCTTTTACTTTCCTCTGTGAGATCCTTGACCTCTCCTTTTCTTGCTCATTTCTGCTAGTTTGGAATAGGCAGTGCATGTTAGTTGCAGTCATGTGCACTGCTTTATGAGCACTACAACTCCCATAGTCCCTAGTTCATGTTAAGAGGAAGCAACAACGTTCCTACATACAGTGGGACCATGGAGAACAGACATAGCCACCCTCTAATGGCAATTTATGGCTGTGAGCAATAGAAGGTACCTTTTAAGTTAAGAATACATGACTGCATAGATTTTTTTTCTTTTTTTTTAAACTCAAGTTTAGTGTCACTTTAAATACTTTCATCACAATCAACCTAACACCTTTATACATTTAGGCCTTAGAATTATTACAGATTATATATTTGATTGTGTACAATGGAGATACTTACCTACAAATGTAACACGCTGCAGATTGGGGCGGACACAGCACATGCGACTCAGTCCTTCACCAACTTTTCCCAGAATCCTTACTAAAAAGGAAACCAACAAATTATATAGTAAGAGTTTTACTGGCATTAGATGTGCTACATCTGTTCTTTGTTTTAGGTTGTGTGTTTACAATGTATTTTTGGGCACATTTTATTGCATTTAGAAGGATCTCGTTCATCTGATTTGAACAGTAATGCATCTGAATGGAGCAAAAATGCAACTATTGTATGTACTATTGTTGAAAGCAGTGGTTCTCAACCTGTGAAACCTCAGGACCCACACTTGTCCTTGGTCATTATGTTGCGACCCAAAAATAATTTAATTTCCAAAACATTATAATTAATACCAATACCCCCTAACTTTAAGCCCCTCTGCCTCATAATAATAGCCCATTAAGCTGAGCAATGCCTCCTCTACCTCTCACTCTCTCAAAGGCACACTGAGTTAAGAGTATTAATGTTTTTTCAGTGGCTTTTTACATAAATAATATAGTTTGTGCAATATTTGTGTGAGGGTTTTCAGCCCCCCGCACTCATTCAATCCCACCTTCCATGGCCTGCTTTAGCCCACGACCCTTTCATACACCCCTTCCTTTCCCATTTTATGCTCTTTCCTTTTCCCCTTTTTACACTCTCCTTTAATGCCCACCTTGACCCTCTGTTTTCCATTTTTCTTTCACTCAAAATGCACTCTCCATCACTCAGCCACAACCTGGGAAAAGTACCTAGCGGATTCATTCCCTGGCGTCCAGCAGTGCTTTTCTCCCTCCTGCACTGCTGGCTAGCTTGAAGGAAGTGCAGTTATATGTCACTTCCTTCCAGCGCTGCCGTGGAGGAAGGAGGAATGAGCGTGAGGGCCGTAGGACCACTTTGTAAGTGCACTGTGTGCACCATCTTAATAGGACAGACTGGCCGCAATAATACAAATATTAAGACCGGCCATAGTTGCAGTCCCAGCCGTCTTATCAATTATATTAGTGCAGTTGGCAGTTGGTGGTTTATATTAAGCGATATTGTCAGGGCACCAGACGTATTATTGGGGCAATGGAGAGGCCTGGGTGGCATTTGCCCCACAACCCAGTCCACTTCAGGTCATGAACCATTACTTGAGAAATATGGGTTTAAAGCACATGAACACTGTGCACCTGGTATAAAACAAGACAAATAAAAAGGTATTGTTTTTCACATGACCTGCAGTTTACAGAGCTGGGAAAAGCACCAAAAGGTATTTGGTATGACCATTCTAGCCTATCTAGAGAACATATCAGATAATAAAAATAGTTTTTTGAAAAATGTAGTCTTAAACATATTTAAACATCTTCATATTCAGGTGACAAAAAGATGTATTTTTCTAGTTGTACCAAAACACATCATTTCTGCCAAACAGACCGAATGATATGTCTCCACATGCTGACTGTTCTTGCTGCTTTCAGTCACAGATGCTTAATATATATACTGTGGAATGATAACAGCCACAAATGGGGCCTCACTGAGGGGTAAGCAGAAGAGACAGCCACCCTTAGTGCTATAGCTGGAAGGGGGTGCAAAAGAGCCAGAAGTGTAGTAAGTAAAGGCACCTCTGAAGAAACCTGGAGGCACCCTGATTGAAAAAGGCTGTAATAATTAGCCCTAAATAACTGTTGTTGATCTCAGTTGCAACACAACATTGTATCATTTATAAAAGGTCCACTGCAGACAAAAAAAAACACATTCTGTTTTTAAAGTGTACGTATAGCCAACATTTTTAGGAAATTAGAGGAAAGCCTCCAAAGGGAGTGGAATTCCTCTTAAATACTGTAGTTGTCCCCCATGTTATGGGATGACTCTAAAATGTTGTGTTTCCTCTTACCAGGGCTTTTTTTCATGGAGCATAGGTGCAGGACCCCCCCCCCTTCTGGGTCACCCCTTGGTCTCTGCTCCCAACCCACCTCTTAAAACCATCCCTTGGATCCATCCCCTACACACCTCCCAGTACCACCCCTTTCAGTGAATCCAGAACCAAGTAACATTTTGTAGTGCTAAGTAATGAGTATGGAATTTGTTAATGATAAGAAACAGATCCTCTGCAGCCAGCATCAATAACCCCCCTCCCAGCAACATTAGACCCCCCTACACAGTAATAGATTTTTCTCAGCAACAATGGACCCCCCCACAACAAAATACCACCCCAGCAACATTATACTTCCAACAGCCACAACAGATATCTCAGCAGCAAGCATCAACAGACCCTCCAACATCAATAGACCTCTCCCTCAACAGTAGATCCCTTCCAGCAACAACTGATTCTCCAGCACCATAAGTCACCCCTAGCAACAATAGATCCCCCACCAGCAACAATAGACCCCATACAAACATAGATCCCTTCCAGCAACTATAGATCCCCCAGCAGTCAGCGTCAATAGACCCTCCAGCACACCCCAGCATAATCTTGCCTTTACATACATTCAGTGCTGGAGGTGCTGGAACTGCATTCCGCTATGTTCCTGCTACAAAAAAGCACAGCCCCTTACTGACTCTTTCAGTGACAATGGTTAGCAGGATAAATAGAGGGATGAATCTTCTCAATGGGGACTCAGAAGCAATAAAAATATAACAGGGTCTAACTGTTTTCCACTATATTAAAAACTTGAAAAAGGTTTCCCCTAGATATACACTTTAATCTGCCTCAGGGTACATAGTAATCTATATTTCTGGATATTCCTAAAATGTATCCAGCAGTTATAGCCATCTGTGTTTTCTGGATCATACCACAACCTATGAGCCAACTGTAATCTTGTCCACAAGAACAGGAGGCTGCATGGCAAAGAATCAAGTTCACTGCAAGTGGGTAAGTTCGTGGATCTCCCGTAATACTTCACAGCAAGGGTGTATGTTTTTGGTTCTCCCATAGTGTTTTACAGAAAGGGTGTGTGTTTCAAGATTTCTAAAATTGCTATACAGCAAGTGAGTCCATTCCTGATCTCCCACATGTATTTGAAAAAAAAGAGGTTTATTAATTGTGCATTATCAGCTTTGTGCATTATCAGCTTTTCTTCTGTTAAAAACATTAGTAAATCGGGCTCAGGATGAAACTGCGTAGCATGCACTTACCTGCAGTGGGCTTGTTGGTGAGATTGTTGTTCTGGTAGACAGGCTGTGTTGATTGGTTTAGAGACTGTCCAATCACAGGCGTGACAGAAGGAGTGTTCACATTAGACAAGATACATCCAGTTACTCTCTGAAAAAACATTATAAAGGTTATACTTTCACAAAATACATTAACATATAATTTTATACAGAAAAAACTCACTAGAAATTTACTGAGCATTTTACTTGTATCTTTTTTTTAAAACTGACATAAAAACTAATTTTATAGCACATCCACAATGTACACCTCCATGAGCAGAATGAGGCTTGTTTATAAAATCAAGATAGAATGACCCTATATTTTCTAGCCTGCACTTCGCCCAGTACAAGATGGCATCCCACTGGCTACAAAGACATTTTCACTTTGTAAATTTTCCTTATTATTACTTTGGGCCTGATGCATGAACATGCTCATACTCAGAACTGAAGATATTCTCCTCAGCCATTTATCAAATTAAGACCTTTCAAAGAGATCTGTTTGGTGGCGGAGAGGAACTAACTTTAACTTGTGATACATGAGGTATTTTTTAACTTGGCTTTTGCTATATTGAAGAACCGTGAGAGTATCTTACCTTCATGAGATCTCTGTGATGTTCCAGCACACTGCATGTTGTTTGCCAAGTATCTTGGTAGCACTCCCAAGGGTCTACCCTGTATTACAAAATTACCTGTTAGCCGCCAGAGCTTCTGCACATATAAATATTCTGTAATCCAGAATTCTTGTACTACAGATAATCTAACCTCCTTCAAAATCCTTTTACGACAGATGATGACCTGTCGCCCTCCAGGATTCCTGCATCTACACATAACCTATCTTCTCCTAAAATAATGCATCTTCCTCTAGAATTCCTGCACCTACAAATAACCTGTCTTCCTCTGAAATGTTTGTGCTCGAATAACTTGTCTTCTTCCAGAATTTCTTTACCTGCAGATATCTTGTCCTCCTGCAGACTTCCGTACCAAAACACAACTTGTCCTCTTCCAGAATTTCTGTACCTACATATAACCTGTTCTCCTCCAGATCTCTTGTATTTATTGTACATATAATCTGCTGTCCTCCAAATCTCCTGTATTTACATATAACCTGCTGTCCTCTAGATCTCTTATATCTACATACTGTAAAACCTGTCCTCCAGAATTCCTGGGCCTACAGATATCCTGTTCTCCTCCAAAATTTCTGTATCTACATATAACCTGTCCTCTACTTGAATTCCTGCACTACATATAACCTGTCCTATAGAATTCCTGCACTACATATAACCTGTCCTCCTATAAAACTCCTCTATTTACAAATAACGTCCTCCTCCACAATTCCTGTATTTGCATTTAACTGTCCTGTTACAGAACTCCAGCACCTAAAGATTTCCTGTCCTCTTCCAGAATTCCTGCACTACAGATAACCTGTCCTCCTCCAGATTTTTGGCACTAAAATAACCTGTTCTCCTCCAGAATTTCTGTATCTACATATATACCTGTCCTCTTCCAAAATTCCTGCACTACAGATAACAGGTCCTCTTACAGAATTCCTATATCTACAGATAACTTCTACTACTTTAGAATTTCTGAAATTACAAATAACCTGTCTACATTCTGAATTGCTACTCCTACAGATAAAATGTATTCTTCCAGAATCATCCTTGCACTACAGGTATACTGCCTCCCTCTGTAATTCCTATACCTAGAGATAACCTTACTCCTGCACTTACAGATAACCTGTCCTACTCTAGAACACATATCTAGAACCTATTTTCCTTCCTTACATGACCCCCTCTTACCGAATCCAGTCTGAATTCTGCACAGCCAGCTGACACATGCTGAGACGATGCCGACTTGAAACCAGACCCTAAAGAGTAGACAGGGTTAATTATGATGTGTAAAATACAGTACTGGAAAAAAATCAATATAAAACAGCTTAAAAACAATTTTTACGCTTGTATTCTAGGGTGTTGGAACCCACAGAATTGAGGATCATGGAAATTTAGCAGTTACAGCATTTGCTAATATAAATAGCAGCTTAGATAATGGAAATGGATTTCCAAATAATGGTATGTCTCCATATATTTAACCCAGTTTTGTACAAATCAGAAGTACAGATTACTATTAGATACCAGATAAAATATCAAATACTATCTCTAATTTGTTAGAGAATACACCAAAACTAGGACATAGCAGAAGAAATAAGAAGATGGAGACAAGGTAAAGGGGATGGTTAAAGCAGACCTTGCAGTGCAATGCATGGCCCACGTGTGTTCACTGTCCAGACCTCCTCCCTTAAATAACTTGCCTGCTAATACTAAGTTAAACAGATTACCTAAATAAAGAAAAAAGGTAGAATTATACTTTATATTTTACATTGCTGGGTGTGACAGCACCATCATTACAGAAAGATTCCTGTAAAAAACAGGGAAGGCAACTCCAGTATATCCTCATGGGATTTGGGCTGCTCTATATTTCCCAGGATCTCATTGGAAGTAGTGTGACACCTTCGTTGTCTAGGCACAGTGGGTGGAATACAAGTAGCTATAAAATCTAAGTTCTTTACAGGTAGCTTTAGGACCTACTATCAGCAGGCAATGTACTGTATATTGGGGGGAGGGAGCCCAGACAATATATGTGAATCTTGCACTGCACTGCAAGGTCCACTCTAACCATCGCCTTTGCCTTTTGTCCACCTTCTAGTTTATTCTAATATCTTCTAGTTCTGGCGTATTGACTGACATATTAAAAGATGGTATTTGATATTTTATTTCGGTCTCTATTAGCATTCTGTACTTTTGTTTTGTACTGCAAGGTTTGATTTAAGGAAAACCCATGAAATTATTGAACTATTTTCCACAGCTAGCAGTCATATTCCATGTTTAATATTTGAAGAACATGAAAAATGAGTCCTGATTAAGGACAAGCTGAGTAATTTTGCCAAAACTGTTTTTGCTTCAGAACACGCAACACATCTTTGTGGACATTGTTGTAAATTAGTGAACTGCTTATTCAAAATATGCTTGAAATAAAGCACATGTCCTTGCTTTATGTAATCACCATGAGAGTACTGATATCTCGATCAATAGATTTGTTGAAATGCTACATCTAATGTTAACTCTAATCCTTTGTTTATAGTAAGCCGTGTCATATGATTGCTATATCAGAGCTGACACAAAGATCACATTGCTTTGTTTATAAACGAAGATTTAGAAGGCTCCTATCTAAAATCATATTTCCTGCTAATTAGGGGCTGTCTTTGGCACCTGGTTCCTAACCCTCAGACCTTTAGCAACCACTAAAAACTACCTAAATTTCACCTTCCCAATTGTTTTCAATGCATTTTGCTGTAATTGCAAAAACAGTTTGTGAAAACTTCTGAATTTACTGAACATTCACAGAAGCAAAAACTCATAGTTATGATCATCTCTAGTGTTTATTGCATATAAATTAATTGTTGAACTCTTCTTGAAAATGCTACTGGTCTGACTGTTATGCCTCTCCAAGGCTTTTAGTAGGTTTCATGAGCTTCTTCAGGTTTAGAGACTTTAGTGTGGTCAGAGGTAATTGGTCTGCTGGCTTTTTAAGTGGTCCAATAATGGAAATGTCATAGAAAGCTGTCTGTATCCACCCAGACTAGGAGTGGCCACATAATGCAGAAGCATATCAGAGGATACGTGGAGACACATGTATCACAAAATCACACAGGGTACACTATGAGTTGCTAAATGACACGGGGCACACTTGGAGACACAGGGAGAACAGTGCACATTTGTAATCACAATGTGACACAGGAAACAATGGGGCACACTGGGAGTCACAGGGTGCACAGGATACATAGGATTCACTAGATAACACAGGATGCTCAGGGGTGCACTTGGAGTCCACTAAATTCAATAAATAACACAGGATGCTCTGGAGTGCATTGGATTCACAGAGCATTTGGGGCACACTGGGGTCACTAGATGACACATGATGCTCAGTGGTGCACTTGGCATCACTGGGGAACACCGGGTCATTAAATGACACTGGATTCTCAAGGCAGAGATAAACTGGAGTCATGAAGCACACAGGGATGCACAGGGGTCACCAGATAATACATGATGCTCAGGGGTTTAATCAGGGGCGGATTGACAAGTCATGGGGCCCCCGGGCAATAAGGGATCATGGGGCCCCTGTGTCCTTGCCCAAACTCAAAAAAGCCTATGAAAAAGGTACCAGGGGCATCTCATGGGGCCCCCTACTGACCCCAGGGCAGTTTCCAAATGGTCAGTCCGCCCCTGATTTTAATTGAGTCAGTGGGCTTATTAGGCACACTAGGAGTCAAGAGGCTCTCAGAGAGGCTAGAATGGAGGACTGAGGACTTACAAGGATACAGGTAGAGCTTGCAGCAGGGGAGCTTGGCTGTAGCGTTTTGATGCATTATTTGAATCCTGAGCCATGCTTCAACTCAGAATTTCACGTGGCGCCAATCAGGAGAGCTGCTACTGATTGGTCACAGCACCAATAAGAAGATCTTATTTCTGATTAGTCACAGTGCCAGCACTGTAGGTGAGAACCAGAACTGCCAGCAGTCACATGCTGAAGAACAGACCCTTCGCTTGATCCTCAGAAAAATGAGCACCTCCTCATCTGTTGAAGTCCTCGTTTCAATAGAAATCTGAAATGTATTTATTTTTTTACTGGGGGGGGGGAGGGGGGTGGATCCATCAGATGCAGAGACCCAGGATCTTTCTTCTGGCCCCCTTCCAGTCAATTAGGTATTTAAAGGGGTATTAAAACCCTAGTGTTCTTTAGCTTAACACATTGAGCACAATAAAATCTTGTTCCCCAGTAAACGATTTGTTTAAACAACTTAGCCAAGCAGAGAAAGGTGCTGCAAGAGAAAGGCACTACCTTGAAACAAGAAACCTCGGACAGTGATCATGAAACCAGTTTAAGCTGGAACATAGGCAAGGATTAAAAGATGAAGAAGATGAATACTGAGTAAGTAATTAAATCAGCTTCTGAAAATGCTTAAAAAATCTGAGGGTTTATTATCCCTAAGTAAATTGAGATGTGGAGACAGATAAAGTTTGATGCAAACTGAATTGATCTTTGTGGTGATTACATAAAGTCTAGTATGAGGCAAGGTTCACAAGAAAAACTTAAGATGAATGTTTTGGTGACAAGCCAAACCTCATCCCAGGGTTGGATACAGCTCTTCAATGGTGAAGATCTGCAAATGTCTTGTGTCTGAGAGTAGAGTGCTGGAGTTGGGTTGAGCACCTGGGACCACATTTGGGTAAAGTCTTGCTGTATAGCAAAGAGTGTGTGAATCTCTAGGGAAGACGGTAAAGGCAAAAGGAGATGTGGATTCTTGACTTCTTGATGCTAGCATTAGAATGGTTATTGAGAGCAAATGCTGCCCAAAGCAGCAAAGGGCAACACAATCATCATGATGGGCAGACAATAGGGCATGAAGATATTGTTCCAAGGATTGATTGACCCTTTCAGTTTGTTCATTAGTCTGAGGAAAACTGCAAAGAGATATCCAGAGACTTAAAAAAAAAACAAAGAAAAAAAAAAAAACTTTTCCAGAAGCAGAAGGTGAATTAGAAACCACAATCAGAGATACCATGGGCTCGCATGCCATGAGGTCTGATGATTTCCCAGATAAAGATGGGCATCAGGGTTGCTGTTGAAGGCAACAAGGGAAGGGGTACTATTTTTGAAATGTGGTGTACCACTAAGTAACCATACAGCCATCTGATGGATTAGTAATAAAGTTTATAAAGCAGGATTCTCTGGGGTGCACTGAAGTCATGGGGTGCACTGGGGTCACTAGATGACACAGGATACTCAAGGGTGCCCTTGGAGTGTTTAGGGCCCACAGGGAACATAGAATCACTAGATGACACTAAATACTTAGGGCTGCACTGGAGTCATGGGGCATGCCCACGTGCTGCCCTTGGGCTCCTGCAGAGGGTAGCCTGTTTTGTCTTGCCTAGGTGCTTGTTAAGGCCAGTGAAGGAAAAATATTCTTTAGAATGACTTCTGAGAGTCAAATAGCTTGTTTTATTTGTTTCCCTCTATCTTATGTTCTGTTCATCTCATTTCACTTTGTTTAATGTAATCTTTAATAAGAATCTTGCTGAGAGAAATATCAAAAGGTAGTAAAATCACTTTTAAGGGGGCTGTATAGAGTACATATTTGGAAGCATTGATTTGTAAAAGAGCAGTGATCTCTAGTGGTCTCATATAATGTGTCTTGAGTCTATAAGCATCCCCAGTCTCCATAAACTTCTGTAACTGTTCAGTCTCTAACCATCTCTGCAACACTGGGATACTTAGGGTTGCATTGAGGTCACAGGTTGCAATGAGCACACTAGGCAGAGCAGCCCCCAATCCTTTTCTTCTTAGGTCCACCGCTAGAACTCCTGGCTCCTACCCCTTGACCAGTGCCCACAATAGCAAGCTGTTTGCTATGGGGGTACTGATCCATGCTTGCTCCTGAGCCCCGCTCTATGCTCCCATAAGACACAGAACCATAGCTCAGCCTTCCCCCCGGCTCTCTCCTCATGTGATTGAAAGCAGTGGGAGCCAATGGCTGCTGCTGCTGTGCCTCAGCCAAGGAGCAGAATGAGACCCAGGGCAGCCGAGGCTCCTGTGCACATCACTGAATCTAGAGGGGAGTATTAGAGGGGGCTGTGGGGGGGAACAGCCCATAGAAAGTTTTTTTATCTTTAAGCATAGAATGCATGAAGGTAAAAAGCCTTCAGCCTTTACAACCACTTTAACAAATGTCGCTATGTATTAGTATGGTTATGACTAATGTGTTTAGTTATTTTTTTTAGTTTTTTCCTATAGCAGATGTTTCAGACTTCA